GCCAGAGCTCTCTTGAAGGTTAATGGCGCCGGTGGAGCTCCCAAACTTTATGGGATGATTTGCGAACCTTTAGCTATTGTTATGTCCCGCTGCCCCGGAGTAAAATTTCGCAAAATTTATAGGAAAAAATTCCATTGAAGATTGCTTTAAAGCATATAAAGCTGCTATAAGATCACTAAAAGATTTTCATCAGGCCGATTTTGCCCATAATGACATAACAGAATCAAATATAATGATTAGAAAACAAGGTCAGGATTACGTAGCACATCTTATTGACCTCGGCCTCGCAGTAGATAGAACATTAAAGCCCAAACTTTACAAGATGAAAATCAAAAGAGGAAAAAAGTCGTCTAAAAGAAATTCGAGGATATATCATGCAAGACAAAAACGTCAGATAATGGTGAGCTGTCACACCCAGGATCAGGATTCTACCTTGAGTTTTGAAACCCAGGACCAAGATTCTACCTTGAGTTTTGAAATCCAGGATCAAGATTCTAACCTTGAGTTTTGAAACCCAGGATCAAGATTCTACCATGAGTTATCAAAGCATCAAGAAACAACTCCACCTGCCTACTTGGAGACAAAGCCAAAGGCTGTACAAGATATCTTCTACTGGGAAACAAAAGAGTATAATTTCGACCTAGATGCTCTCTTTCACTGAACCAGTCGTTCAGGACCTTCAGGACGCCATCACTCTTAGTGACCCAGTAAGAACTATATCCACTGAAGAGGAGCACCAAATAATATGAGGATATTTTCACGAATTATTTTTTTTGTTTAATTTTAAAGAAGGTAATATTGTTTTTTAAGTGAAAGGACTGATTTTAGTTGATGTGATAGTAATAATAATTATATACTGGAGTCGTGTGAAAAGTGCATCTTAAGTGCTTTAAAAATAATTATGATAATATTGGTAAGTATGGACCATAAACATTGTATCAATCGCATCTGCTAGAAAAATGACAGGATGGGTAATGAGAACCTTCAAAACTAGGGAGGCCAAGCCCATGATGACACTCTTCAGGTCACTTGTTCTATCTAGGCTGGAATATTGCTGCACACTAACAGCACCTTTCAAGGCAGGTGAAATTGCTGACCTAGAAAATGTACAGGGGAACCTTCACGGGCGCGCATAACGGAGATAAAACACCTCAATTACTGGGAGCGCTTGAGGTTCCTAAACCTGTATTCCCTGGAATGCAGGAGGGAAGATACAAGATTATATACACCTGGAAAATCCTAGAGGGACTAGTACCGAACTTGCACACGAAAATCACTCACTGCGAAAGCAAAAGACTTGGCAGACGATGCAACATCCCCCCAATGAAAAGCAGGGTGTCACTAGCACGTAAGAGACCATACAATAAGTGTCAGGGGCCCGAGACTGTTCAACTGCCCTCCCAGCATACATAAGGGGGGTTACCAACAGACCCCTGGCAGTCTTCAAGCTGGCACTGGACAAGCACCTAAAGTCAGTTCCTGACCAGCCGGGCTGTGGCTCATACGTTGGTTTGCGTGCAGCCAGCAGCAACAGCCTGGTTGATCAGGCTCTGATCCACCAGGAGGCCTGGTCACAGACCGGGGCCCCGGGGGCGCTGACCCCGGAACTCTCTCCAGGTAAACTCCAGGTAAATGGTGAGGCGTAATAGTGATGAGGATAGTGAGAGATGATGAATACAAAACAAACGGCAGCCATTATGATGAAGCTCTTAGCAATATATATATATATATAATATATATATATATATATATAATATATAAATATATATATATATATATAATATATATATTATGTGTGTGTGTGTGTGTATATTATATATATATATATATATAATATATATATATATATATATATAATATATATATATATATATATATATATATATATATATGTGTAATATATATATATATTATATATATATATATATATATATATATATATTATATATATAATATAATATAATTTATATATATAAGGTTACTGAGGATGGTAGTGATAAGTATGGAGAGGATATTAAATGAAGACTGGTGGGTATGGTGATGCATATGGTAGTGTTGTATGGTGATGTGTATGATAGTGTTGTATGGTGACATTGTCACGTGTATGGTAGTGTAGTAGTGATTTGTAGTGATGTGTGGTGAGTAGTGTTGTGTAGTGATTATTAGTGATGTGTAGTGATTATTAGTGATGTGTAATGTGTAGTGATGAGAAGTGTTATGTAGCGATTATTAGTGATGTGTAGTGTGTAGTGATGTGTAGTGTTGTGTAATGATTATTAGTGATGTGTAGAGTTGTGTAGTGATTATTAGTGATGTATAGTGATAATACTGATCATCAGTGATGTGCCGTAATGAGTAGTGATGGGAAGTGTGTAGTGATGAATAGTGATGTGTAGTGATGAGCAATCATTAGTGATTTGTAGTGATGTGTAGTGATGAGTAGTTATCATTAGTGATGTGTAGTGACAATTAGTGATGTGTAAGTGTTTTGTTATATATTGTATAGTGTTGTGATGTATATTATGTAGTGTTGTGATGTATATTGTTAAGTACTGTGATGTGCATTGTTTTTGTGTGATATATATTGTATAGTGTTGTGATGTATATTAAAATCGTATTGTGATGTATATTATATCGTGTTTTTGATGTATATTGTATAGTGTTTGTGGTATATATTTATAATCTTGTGATGTATATTGTGTAGTGTTGTGACGTATATTATATCGTGTTGTGATGTATATTGTATAGTGTTGCAATGTATATTGTATAATGTTGCTATATACATTGTATAATGTTGTGATGTATATTGTGTAGTGTTGTGATGTATATTGTGTAGTGTTGTGATGTATATTGTGTAGTGTTGTGATGTATATTGTGTAGTGTTGTGATTTATATTGCAGTGGTGGGCACAGTTCCGCTAATCCGCTAACAGCTAATTAGCGGAACTAACTTTTTGTTCAGTTGATTAGCGTTTCCGCTAACTTCGGAAACCATTAGCGGATCATCACCCTTCTCATTTATGTTTGGTACCAAAGAGTATGGCTTCCATTTTCCCGAGGTGTAACAATAGTTTGTTGTCTACTAATCATTTGCTGCAGGACTCCATTTCCAGTGTTATTACATTAGCTATATCTTGTGGGTCTTTACCTGACACACTGCGCTGTATAGCCCTTGTGGTTTAGCGCTTCTTTTTGATTATAATAATAATAAATAATTTACCTGACACTATCAGAGCACTGTCATCAGCATACAGTAGGAGTTTGCCATTGACACTGATGGTCATGTCGTTTAAAAGTACGTAAAAGACGAAAAAACTAGACCGAATCAGAATTCATGTGAAAAAGTTAGTGGTTAGCGTTCAGCGTCAGCTATCGCTAATTTTTTTTCGGCCGTTTAGCAGTTTAGTGTTAGCGGAGCTAATTTTTTAGTTAGCGGATTATCGGTTAGCAAAGCTAACTTTTCGGTTAGCTGTGCCCACCACTGATAATTATCAATTTAATGTCAGGTCTAGCTTTTTGTGAGAGTGGTAAGCAGTGGGCATCGAAGGAGGTAGAGTTCAGTGACCTGCTGTGACTTAACTCCCACTTACCTCACCCAAAGTTTCTTGCAGGTAATAATTCAGGTAAGGCCTTGTAAGCCTCCTTGCAGATAATTTACTCTAATAATAATAATAATAATAATAATAATAATAATAATAATAATAATAATAATAATAATAATAATAATAATAATAATAATAATAATAATAATAATAATAATTTTTACACCAGTAAAGTCAGAGGATCATCGAGGACTCTTGTCTTTTTTTCCATTATGGTCCTTCAATTTTGTCCCCCAAGATGCGACCCACACCAGTCGACTAACACCCAAGTACCTACTTATTGCTAGGTGAACAGAATCAGCTAGGTGAACAGGAGCAGCTAGGCGAAGAGTAGGTAGGTGAACAGGAGCAACAAGTGTAAAGTGACTAACACCCAGGTACCTACTTACTGCTAGGTGAACAGGGGCAACAGGTGTGAGGAAAACTGCCCAACGTTTCCCCCATCCCGGGAAAAGAACATCTAGCCTAACAAAATAGAAAAACTCAACCACGAGTTATAAATGTAGATATTGATATACACACACGGAGGACAATTGCAGAAGTCGTACAATTCAATTAATTTTTCATGTTTTTTCTAGTTTAAAAGAAGTATCATGTACACATAAATTAGAGCAGTTTAAGGGACAGATTTGATACTACGTCTGATTCAGTACTCTGGTCGTAGTAATTGATTCAGCAGTGATCTGGTCGTTGTAACTGATTCAGCAGTACTCTGGTCGTTGTAACTAATTCAGTAGTACTGTGGTCGTAGTAACTGACTGAACAGTACCCTGGTCGTAGTAACTGCTTCAGCAGTACTGTGGTCGTAGTAACTGCTTCACCAGTACTGTGGCCGTAGTAACTGACTGAACAGTACCCTGGTCGTAGTAACTGCTTCACCAGTACTGTGGTCGTAGTAACTGCTTCACCAGTACTGTGGCCGTAGTAACTGACTGAACAGTACCTTGGTCGTAGTAACTACTTCACCAGTACTGTGGCCGTAGTAACTGACTGAACAGTACCCTGGTCGTAGTAACTGCTTCACCAGTACTGTGGTCGTAGTAACTGCTTTACCAGTACTGTGGTCGTAGTAACTGACTGAACAGTACCCTGGTCGTAGTAACTGCTTCACCAGTACTGTGGTCGTAGTAACTGACTGAACAGTACCCTGGTCGTAGTAACTGCATCCCCAGTACTGTGGTCGTAGTAACTGACTGAACAGTACCCTGGTCGTAGTAACTGCTTCACCAGTACTGTGGTCGTAGTAACTGACTGAACAGTACCCAGGTCGTAGTAACTGCTTCAGCAGTACTCTGGTCGTAGTAACTGACTGAACAGTACCCTGGTCGTAGTAACTGCTTCACCAGTACTCTGGTCGTAGTAACTGATTCATTTTTTTAACAGATCTTTCTTTCCGTAGCCAAGACACAGGCAGTAATCAGTGTGACATCACATGAGGAGCTGCCCACTCATGTGAGTGGTTCAGTCACCTGGGGTGACGGTGAGACTGTCAGCCAAGTCAGCATGACTGAGGATACTCCACCAGGGTCCTCAGGATCAGTCACAAGAACTGTCATCCATGAGTACCAGCAGCCAGGTCAATATCTGGTGACTCTTCAACTCGCAAATTCAGTCTCACGGGCAAATATCACCAAAATGGTGAGCCGCACTCATATATTTTTAGCATTAAGTGTACGAGTCACCACAGACACAATTCTGGTTAATGGAATGATTAGGATGTTTGTGGGATGAGAGAATGTTTGTGGGATGAGAGAATTTTTTAGATTGGGATGAGAAATATTTAAATTGGGATGGGAGAGTGTTTAAATTGGGATGAATGTTTAAAGTGGGATGGAAGAATGTTTAAATTTGGGATGGAAGAATGTTTAGGCTGTTTGTGGGATGAATGTTTAGATTGGGATGAGAGAATGTTTAGATTGGGATGAGAGAATGTTTAGATTGGGCTGGAAGAATGTTTAGGCTGTGGGAGGAATGTTTAGATTGGGATGAGAGAATGTTTAGATTGGGCTGGAAGAATGTTTAGGCTGTGGGAGGAATGTTTAGATTGGGATGAAAGAATTTACTGTTGGCAGAAAAATGTTTAGACTCGGATGAAAGAATGTTTATACTGGCAAATGAAAGATTGTTTATACTAACAGATGAAAGAATGTTTAGACAGTCGAATGAAAGAATGTCTAGAATCGGATGAAAGAATTTAGACTCGAATAAAAGAATGTTTAAGCTGTTTGTGGGATGAAAAGAATGTTAAGGTTGGGATGAAGGAGCATTTAGATGGGGTGAAAGAATGTTTGGGAAATGGGATGAAATAATGTTTAGGATTTTGTGGGATGAAAGAATGCGTAAGCTGGGATGAAAGAATGTTTAGATTGGGATGAATGTTTAGACTGTGGGATGAAAGAATACTTAGAGTGGATGAAATGTTTAAACTGTTTGTGGGATAATAGAATGTTTAGGATGTTTGTGAGATGAAAGAATGTTTAGACTAGGATGAAAGAATGTTTAGACTGTAGGATGAAAGAATGTTTAGGATGTTTGTGGGATGACAGAATGTTTTGATTGTGATGAAAGAATGTTTATATTGTTTGTGGGATGAGAGAATGTTTAGGCTGTGGGATGAAAGAAAGTGTTGGTTGTTTGTGGGAATATGTAAGCTGTTTGTGGGAATATGTAAGCTGTTTGTGGGAATGTGTAGGCTGTTTGTGGGAATATGTAAGCTGTTTGTGGAATGTGTAGGCTGTTTGTGGGAATATGTAAGCTGTTTGTGGGAATGTGTAGGCTGTTTGTGGGAATGTATAGGCTCTTTGTAGGAATGTGTAGGTTTTGTGGGAATGTGTAGGCTCTTTGGGGAATGTATAGGCTCTTTGTGGGAATATGTAGGCTGTTTGTAGGAATGTGTAGGCTGTTTGTGGGAATGTATAGGCTGTTTGTGGGAATGTATAGGCTCTTTGTAGGAATGTGTAGGTTGTTTGTGGGAATGTGTAGGCTCTTTGGGGAATATATAGGCTCTTTGTGGGAATATGTAGGCTGTTTATGGGAATGTGTAGGCTGTTTGTGGGAATGTGTAGATTGTATGTAGGAATGTAGAAGCTGTTTGTGGGAATGTGTAGGCTGTTTATGGGAATATGTAGGCTGTTTGTAAGAATGTATAGGCTGTTTGTGGGAATGTATAAGCTGTTTGTGGGAATGTGTAGGCTGTTTGTGGGAATGTGTAGGCTGTTTGTGGGAATGTGTAGGCTATTTGTGAGAATGTGTAGGCCGTTTGTGGGAATGTGTAGGCTGTTTATGGGAATATGTAGGCTGTTTGTAAGAATGTGTAGGCTGTTTGTGGGAATGTGTAGGCTGTTTGTGGGAATGTGTAGGCTGTTTGTGGGAATGTGTAGGCTATTTGTGAGAATGTGTAGGCTGTTTGTGGGAATGTGTAGGCTGTTTATGGGAATATGTTGGCTGTTTGTAAGAATGTGTAGGCTGTTTGTGGGAATGTGTAGGCTGTTTGTGGGAATGTGTAGGCTATTTGTGAGAATGTGTAGGCTGTTTGTGGGCATGTATAGGCTCTTTGTAGGAATGTGTAGGCTCTTTGTGGGAATGTATAGGCTCTTTGTAGGAATGTGTAGGCTCTTTGGGAATGCATAGGCTGTTTATGGGAATGTGTAGGGCGTTTGTGAGAATGTGTAGGCTGTTTGTGTTAATGTGTAGATTGTGGGAATGTAGAGGCTGTTTGTGGGAATGTGTAAGTTGTTTGTGGGAATGTGTAGACTGTTTGTGGAAATGTATAAGCTGTTTGTGGGAATGTGTAGAGAGTCTTCTCCACTTGTAAGTTAGTTTCAGAGCCCCATTACTAAGTATGGTAACTTCAACTTTATAGCTCCCTTCTCCTCCATGCCTGCATTATTCCACCATTCTTTGAATTTGGCTCCGATTCTTTTATACCACGGCAAACCTAATTTACTGTACAGAAATCGTCTTCAGAATTTATGCATTGTTAATGGTGACGAGTGAAAACTAAATGGCTCTTTGATATATACTTATTTACTGTACTTATGGAAATAAGTCACTGTCTGACCTTTTTTTTAGAGTTATCCTAGGTAATTTACACTTATGTATGATAATTGTACTTATGTGTACCTGTACCTAAATAAACTTACTTTCAGGTAAATTGTACTTATATGTACCTGTACCTAAATAAACTTACTTTCAGGTGCAAGTGCTGAACCACCTCTCACTTGACAAGATTGTAGTGAGATATCAGAATGAAGTTGATGTGCCAGGTAGGCCTACTGACTTCTGGAAGACTGACGTTCCTCTCACCATCACTGCTGTAGAGAAGACTGGAATTTCCAATAACTTCACACTGTCAGTGAATGGAGACATTATAACTAGCAAAACTTCATCTTTTACTTACACTTTCACAGCAGTAAGTTATTGATTTAGCACTAAAAATATATTTTTTTTTGTATAGAAAGATGCACAATACTGCAGTATTACATACATTATTTCTAAGTTTGCAGATAACTTTTTATTTTTTTGTTATGCTTTGTTCTTGATTGTACGGTTTTAGGCTGGAGAATACAACATGAGCGTCGTGAGTTCTGGTAGGGCTGGTATCTCTCCTGCAGTGACACGAGTGTTACAGTTGGCAAGACCATTGAAAGAAGAGAACCTTGTGCTAATTGTTCCCAACATGGTTGTGTGGCCCCCAGGTAAATATAGAGGAACTCAGCAAGTCAATTATTAAGAGTATTCCACTTCAATGACAAGCTGTTCCTTTTTATTGTACCCATCTAAATTTTTTATTGTACATATAACTGTAGTCAACTGCATAAGAAATCTTACTTAATAGTGTGTGTAATTCTTAATAGTCTTTAAGCATTAGGATTAGGTTCCCTGAAATGTATTGCAACTTAGTGCCTTTCTTTTGTACCTAACAATATTTCATTACGTGTAAACTACATTATTTTTGTACCACTAAGAAATAAAAATTTTATTTTAATTTAAATAGTATTTCTCTTTCTTTAGCAAGGCAAGAAGGAATGCTCCTAGGTACCATGCATGTAGATACCTGTGTTAGTCTAATGCTAATTGGAACTGCTTTATATATTTTTTTAAGAATTTTAACATCCATTTAATATACATAACAAATGATTAACCTAACGTACATTACTCATTAATAAATACAGTATGCTGTTACAGTACAGTATACATACTTTAAAAAATAAATTTATTGGATTTTTCTTTTAAATTAATTTTTCACACTTGTGGCAGGTATATTATGTAAATTATAGTGGCTTAAAACACTTTTTTACAGCTGAGGTAATGGTGACGATTGTGTTGAAAGCCCCGGGAGAACTCCCCACCCTTGTGGCAGGTGTTTTATCTTGGGGAGATAATCAAGGGGAGACACAGCTCAACTTCAAGAAAGATACATTTGCTGGAGCCATTAAGGCCATCACACAAAACATCACACACAGTTATAACCAGTCAGGAACCTTCCACGTCAGTCTCATCTTGCATAATCCAGTGTCTGAACTCAACCTTACCAGGGAGGTCAGTAGCAGCATCATCATGAAACTTGATCAGCCACAAATCTCTTTTCAGACACTTTAATTCAAAACTAAACAAATAAACTTTATTTCTGTAAAGTGGATTACAGTACATTAGGGTAATTGATATACATGTGTATGTATGTTTGCTACTTTATAGAAAACCTCTTTGTATGAAAGGCATTTTAAGTTAATAAATAATATCTTTATTTCTAGAAGTACATGTACAAGGTATATAGGCCTAACTGACATCAATGACATATTTGGGCAGTCTTAAAACTAAATTATAATTACTAGTACATGAAAATAAGAATAGTTATGACATATTGGAGGTATGTATTAGGGAATTCATTAAGAAAATTTAATTGCTGCAATTGCAAATATTAGTTAGAAAAATATAAACAAATCAGGAAAATTTGATTATAATACTGTATGACAGTGCATTACTTTATTTCCCAGTTATTGCACACATTTAAAAACTTTACTAAATGTTGTCATTAACTTATGAAAGCCACTCATTAAGCAGTGATAAATCAGACAGATTGGTAAAAAATGAACAAAAGGGGGGGGAGAGGGGTTGTCTGAATGTGTGCAAAAAGCTTCTGTAAATTCAAAATTTCATCTGTGGGAAATTAATTTTTTCAATAAATTTTGCATATTGCGAATTGTAGGAATTTTACCTATTTTTTTTTTTAACAAGTCGGCCGTCTCCCACCGAGGCAGGGTGACCCAAAAAGAAAGAAAATCCCCAAAAGAAAATACTTTCATCATCATTCAACACTTTCACCTCACTTACACATAATCACTGTTTTTGCAGAGGTGCTCAGAACACAACCCAACACGTACATTATAATACGTACCTAATACGTGCATTATATTAAAATTATTGATGAATAAAAATTCTGTCTCTCTCAGTAAGGAAATAAGGAAGCTGTTTTTTAATGTAATAAATTTCATAGTAATTTTCATTAAAAAGATAATATATTCTCTTATTTGAAAATTTAAGGGAAATTTTTATGTACTGGTAAAGTATCATGAGAAATAAACATTAATGCAGAAATAAAGGACAAAATTATTTTGGGAATTTTAGTATGTCACAAAAGATAATTTCTTTTAATTTTCAAAATTTGACACACCATATAATATGGCTACCCTGATATATGACATTTTTGCATGGTTATAACAAGGACTAACTTACTTTTTCTCTGTCATGCAGGATGATTTCATGGAGCTATTAGTGTATTACCATTCTTAGATTTCAGTGGTGCAACAGCTAGAGCTGAGGGAGTTAGTCATAACTCTTAAGGAAGGTGATAGAACCTTGACAAGACCTCAGAATGCTTTCTTTGTGGAGGACACTATAAGCATCACTCTAGGGAACATCAAGGGACAGGCAGACCACTATGTCCTCTCGGTCAGTGGTCAGAAAGATCTGGTGCAGACCTCGCCCACTTTCATACTCAAGTTTAAAAGGGTAAGTAAAAAGGTTTTTCATGTACTGTACAGTATTAAGATTCAGTACATTAGAATTTTCTTATTATCAAAGGCATTTTTAAGTTTTTTATTGTATCACTATCATTATATTCTTTTTAATTACTCTTCATTATTTTGTAATGTATTGTACTGTAGTAACTGTTATTCATCCTTACAGGAGAGTGACTATGAAGTGGCTATAGTCGCTGAAGTCCTGGGAGAAACATCTAATAAAGTATCTAGTTGGGTGCGGATTCGTGAAAAACTAAATAACCTTAAGGTGGAAGTGTCTGATACAGATACTCGAGCTGGGTTGGAGATTACCTTTACCATACGAGCCCCACTGTTCCTCGGTGCCTGCCTTTCTTTGAACCTTGGGGATGGCCGACTGGTAGGATGGAAACGAGCTGATAATTGCGAAGGTCAAGGCACAGGTCGAGAAGAGTGGCAGAAAGTAGCATTCTCAGAATTAGTGACTTTAACTCATAAATACTCATCACCAGGGTGTATATAAACCTACAGCTCGATTGTTTTCTGCTATGGGTGAATTACAAGAGATGGTCAACATAATTGTGTTAGATAGTCTCCCATGTGATTACCTAAATGTCTGGATACAGAAGAATGGCACTTTGGAAGCACCTGTTAGCATGACACGTGCAGACAAGCTGTGGGTCCGGAGCTTCGCTGATGTTAACTGCAGTGTCCCAGAGATGGATATGGAAATTAGTATGTTTTTATAATATCACTGATAATAATGTCAGTTGGTTTTCAGATTCATACTGATATGTTTGTATTAAGATTAGACACTACTTCTGGTTACTAAATATTAGCCTCATTTATTTTGGTAACTCCAGGTGTATGTAAATTACATTGCAACTACTTTAGCTTATAGTTAGTGTTACTGTCTGGTAATTAAATTAGGAAAAGGAATTATATTTATTTCAGGAAATTACTAATCTGAAGAATATTAATTTGCAATGATTTCAATATTTTGCTTATAAATGAGATACCTGTGCAGTGTTAGGATATTTTAATGACAAACATTTTACTATGAAAGGCTTCTTCAGGACCTGAAGATGCCACTGGTGGCAAAATATTTCCTAGGTAAAATACTTATCCTAGTGCTGCATGTGTGTCATATTTCATAATCATTGATATTTTATAACAGCTTGTACCTGATTTACTTGTAGGTTGGAAGGTGGTTCGTGTGAATGATAGTGAAGAAGTGGAACTGTCATCTGTGGACACAAGCAAAAGTGTCTTGTATCTACCAGCACGTACCCTTCACTATGGACAATATCGTGCCATTGTTTCCTACAATTATCCATGATAAGTAAGCTAGTACACATGTATAAAGTCTTTATTTTTTACGAAGCTTATTTTCTACTTAGTCATTAAGCCACAAGCATTCAGTTCATTTCAGGCAAACTAATCACAGGAGTGTAAACTGAAATTAATATCATAGAGTACTGTAAATTTTTATTATTATGGGCTTTACTTTCTAATGAAATATTAGCCATTCCTTAACTGCTAAGAATTTGTAATCTTTTTTTTATTATTAACACATTGGCCGTTTCCCACCAAGGCAGGGTGGCCCAAAAAAGAAAAAGTTTCACCATCATTCACTCCATCACTGTCTTGCCAGAGGTGCACTTACACTACAGTTATAAAACTGCAACATTAATACCCCTCCTTCAGAGTGCAGGCCCTGTACTTCCCATCTCCAGGACTCAAGTCCGGCCTGCCGGTTTCCCTGAATCCCTTCATAAATATTACCCTCCTCGCACTCCACACCATGTCAAGTCCTAAAAATCATTTGTCTCCATTTGCTCCTATTTAACATGCTCACACATCCTTGCTAGAAGTCCAAGCCCTCGCACATAAACCTCCTTTACCCCCTCCCTCCAACCTTTCGTAGGCTGACCTCTACCCCACCTTCCCTCCACTACAGATTTATACACTCTCAAAGTCATTCTATTTTGTTCCCTCCTCTCTCCATGTCCAAACCACCTCAACAACCCTTCCTCAGCCTTCATCTATAAAGGCTAAAAGGGAAAATTTACCAAAGTATAGAAGTGCCATGTTGGGTGTATAAGTGTGAAGCATGGGCTTTCAACATTAGAGGAAAGGGGAGGTTGGAGCAGTGATGTCATTTTTTAGGGTGATGTATTGTGTGAATATTATTCAAAGACCTCAAAAACATAGAGATTAGATGACTGTATGGGGATTCTAAAGTTATAATTAAAGATCTAATTTAGAGAGTTGAGGAGGTATTGTTGAGGTGGTTTGGACATTCTGAATGGATGGAGCAGAATAGGATGAATTAGAGGGTGTACAAATTAGGAGTGAAAGGAAGAAAGGTAGGAGGTTGGAAGGAGGGAGTAAAGGTGATTTTTGAGTGCAAGGGGTATAAACATGCAGCAAGTATGTGGGAGCATGTTAGATAGGTGTGAATGGATATTTAGTGGTTTTCATGGCTTGACATGCTATTGAAATGTGAGTAGGGTAATATTTAAAAAAACTATTCAGAAAAACTAGTTAGTTGAACCCTAGTCCTGAGGTGGGAGGTATGCACAGTACTAATGGTGAATGTGTTGCTTTTTATTCTGTTGCTTCACCATACCTCAGTGAGCGATGGCTGGTGTGTTAAAAAATAAGTTTATAATAAAATGGCAAATCAGGCAAAGTAATTTCTCAAATAATACCAGAGAATATAAATATATCCTTAGTATCATTACAGTGAATATACAGTAACAAATGTGTGAGACTGTCTCACTATCTTGTTAGATCTAGAGGGCGCTCCTGTGTGGACAGTATTAAATGGGGTGTCAGTGATTCAAGTGGGCAAGAGCACCCTGATGGTTGTGATGATGAAAGGAGGTGCTCCCAGGGTCCGTCGAGGTACACTGCAAACACTTAGTCTCTCACCTGGTCATGTCTCCTATGATCCTGATTATCCAGAAATACCGGTTAGTATTAAAGAAGATTGTTTTTTGTTGCTCTTTCTGAAGTTATATTTTAAATTGTTCATAAAAAATTATATTAATAATAGGTGATTGCTTATTTGAAGTCACAGTAGCAGAGCTGTACTTGTGCCATCCTGTAATTTATTCATTATTTTATACAAAATACGTTACATAATTCATTATTGGCTCATAAACAGGAGTTTAGATTACTGTATAATATTGAAACACTTTTCTAGGCTATGTCCTATGAGCAACTTAATTTTCAGCCTCCAAGACACTGGGTAAATCTTCTAGACTTATTTTTTTGAAAAAAAAAAAAAAAAGCATCTTTGATGCTGTAAAATACAGTAAATTTGTCAGATAAATGTTTAAGTGTACCAGGGGTTGTAACATTTATTATCTTCTCTTAGATCCCATTCCAGTTTTCTTCTGTTTGTGAAGACAATTTTTTTATCGGTTTACAGTTGTGATTTCCTGTTCTCCCTGTTGGTAGTGCTTAGAAATCATCTTTATTTTTTCCCATCCTAGTGTAATTTTGTATGTAATTATTATGTCTCCTCATATTTTCTGTCGACTAAGTTATTTTAAGGGTTTTCAATAATTTTTATTTTGCTTAGACTCATTTTGAAGCATTTTCATGATTAAATCTGAGTAATAAATTTACTTGGATCTCATTACAGTGGTAAGTATTGTATGTCTTTATGTGATTTCTCTTAGCCTATATTTCTTTTCATATTCATTTCTTTTTAGTGGATTTCTTTTATATGCTTTTCGTGATCTGTAGTTATTCTGTCTTTCTTAATTATTTGCACGGGTTCCAAAGGTAAGTGCTAGTGGTGTAGCCAGGTTCTAAAGTTAGTGTGAGCGAGCACATAATAAGTGTCATGACACGCACTGAATCATTTTAAATTCATTATACATTTTTGCTTTTAAAATCAAAACACAAGAAAGATACAGGTTTAAAGGAAGTATATAATTGTTATTTTGTATTTAAAATTAAAACAATAAAAAGTTTTACAGTAAGCTCATAAATCTCAAAACGTAATAAAGCATGTGTGTTATTTATTATTTTAATTTTAAATGTAAAATGAAAACAAAATGAAGTAATGTAAAGAATGTATGAAGCAACTACAACAATCTCTTTAGTCTAGACTTCATTCTAGCAAAGTTATCTGTTATTTTATTATAATCCACCTCAGTAGCCAACTCGCTTTCAATTTAGAACAAAGGTAACCCAGAAAATCAGTCCTCACCCATTGTAGACCCAAAGTAGGATTTTGTGTGTTTGAGCTGATTAACCCCTTCAGGGTCCAAGGCCAAAATCTGAAGTGGTGCTCCAGTGTCCAAGAAATTTTGAAAAAAAAAAATTATTTTTTTCTTACAGAATTAAAGAGCATATTTTTGTGAAGGTAATAAGACAAAAGAAATTTTCTGATCAGTACTTACCGAGATACAGTGCCAAGAAGTTTGTCCAAAATGATGTGGTGGCGGCAACATCAACGAATTCCACATACGCGCATTACTTTATTTAGCAGTTTTTGTAGTTTTTTCTTTTCTTTTCCAATTTTTTTCTTTTCCTACTAACATTTGGGGCCTGAGAGACCAATACTGTATATAATGTATATATATAAACTCACTGTATTGAACACAATAACTGCACTAAAGTTATTATCATATTATTGTTTACCACTGTTGTTTATTACAATAAACATGCACAAATCTTGTATAATACTAATGTTCTATCATATATTTACATATTTACAATCACTGGACATGGTTTTAGAACTGCTGGAGCTTGTGGAACTCCTTGAAACAAGGCACCATACACAGAGGCACCTTACATTCCTCACACATAAACCGAGTGCCTTTGCGTCTTTGTTGCCGTCGTTTTGTTTGTGCACAGATGATGCATCTCTTCTGAGCAAATTTCTTCTGAGTTTGAAGGAAGCTGTATTATGAAAAGATCACCTTCCCTCCTCAAACGCTTGGGTATATCCTGAGGAATTCGAGGACCTTGTTGTATAGCAGGTGTTCTTATCTGGTACTTCATTATGAGTTGTCTGACAACAGACAAACAAAATTCACCATATGGTGGTCTGTTGCCAGTCTTTATTTGGTACATATTATATGCATTGAGCATTGAAATGTCCATGAGATGGAAGAAAAGTTTCATGTACCACTTGTAACTCTTACGAACACAATCAACAAAACCAATCTGCATGTCACATTTGTCAACCAAGCGCATGTTTTGTGTATAATCAGTCACTGTCACTGGTTTTCGAATACGTTCATTAGTCACTCGATCAACTTTGCCACTGTCTTGCATTTCATTACGGTGAATGGTTGTCAACAAAGTGACATCTCGTTTGTCATGCCACCGTAATGCCATGATGTCATTGGCAGTAAACACCTGCACGTCATCACCACGAGCACCTGCGTTGAGCCTGGGCATATGTTTACGATTAGAATGCACTGTGCCACACACATCTGTCTTGTTCACTCACAAGAAATCACTGAGTAATGGGCTTGTGTACCATTTTATCGGTATATAATGTATGCCCCTTACCAAGATAAGGTGCCATCATGTTTCTCACTACGTCACCTGAGATACCCAATAACATCTTGGTATCTTTCAATGTTTTACTTCCCGTGTATACAACAATATCCAACACCAGGCCACTGTCATAGTCACAGAGTACAAACAGTTTTATACCAAAGCGTTTCCTCTTGCTCGGTATATATGTACTGCTTAAATGACAGTCTACCTTTGAACAAAATCAAGACTCGTCAATTACAAGATTCTTGAATGGATAAAAGTATATGCTGAACTTTTGTTTGAGATACATAAAAACATTTCTAATCTTGTATAACCTGTCACTTCTGTCAGGCCTGGTTTTGTCAGAGAAGTGCAACATACGTAACAGTAAGATAAACCTGTTCACTGGGATGATTTTACTGAAGACCGGGGTAGAAATTAGCCGATCTGTGGACCAGTATGCTCTTATATTATGCTTATAGACATGAGGCATAAGCATTATTGTTGCAAAAAGCAAATACATTTCTGCAACAGTCGTCTCTTTCCACCAGTGTAGTCTTGACTGTGGTGATATGATCGTATTTGCCATGGTGTACTCAAAATACTTATTACTTTCCCTGACAATAGTTTCCATCAATGGCTGGTCAAAAAATAATTCAAAGAATTCCAGTTCATTGGCCGTGGTTCCAAGGGGACAAGTAGGTAGAATTCCACTTTGAGAGTCATCAAAGTGGTGGGGCTTGGGAACAAAATTGGGTTTTTGCTGCCAATCCCAGATACGGTTTGCTGGTGGATACTGGACATCATAGGCTGGTTGTGCGGGAGGTTGTGATTGTGGTGGGCTGGTGGCTGACACTCCGCTTTGTCCTTGAACTGAGGAGTTAGCAGCATGGGTCCCAGCCTGGGCTCGTGAGTCACGCATGGCGGTGCCACTACCATCACCACTACCACCATCTATTGATGCCTGTGGTCTATCCATGCCAAGTGCAGCCACATCATCCTCACTATCACTATCTAAACCTGGTGTAGGGCCACGGGATGTACTCCGGGATGTACTCCAGGATGTACTCCATCCCCTGGGCACAGCATAGGGTACACTACCCTAGCGCATGCGGCGATGTACATACCGACGCTTCACTGGTGAATATGATTCCTCACTATCACTACTCGAATGATCGTCAAGCGCAGTAAAATCACAATCCACGTCACTATCATCATCGTTACTGAAGTCAGAGGCCTGGCCATGCGAAAATATTAGTTTTCTCTTGCGTTGAGGTACAACTGACCGTGGCTGACGAGTGCCCACACCAGAGGTAGAAGGTTGAGGATCGTCAGGGTTTTCTGCACTATTATCGATATCCTGGTCATTCCTTTCGGTCACTAACTGATCAAAGCCATAGAATTCGTCTTCATTTCCACTTCCATCAGTGTCAGAACTATCAGATAGGAAGAGGAGAGTCCCAATTTTCCGTGGAGTGAGAGCTGACTTGCGACGAGGCATGGTGAACAAGGGTAACTGAGCCGGCGTTCCCACAATGCTATGCGGGTGCCTAGATTTTTTGTTTATGGCACACACCCACCACGCAGACCCGTTCTCTCACATGTAGGCCTATGAGCGCTTTCACGCTAATTTGACGGCGCTAGAATTTTGGCATAGATCTACGGTTTGGACACTCAACGTGAAGCCGTAGATCTACGGGACGGACCCTGAAAGGGTTGTTCCGCAATTGCGATAGTTATTGGTAAGGTCAGAAAAATGTGGTACAATGTGTACATATTAGGATAACTGGAACACATGTCATTGGAAACAAGTGAGCTGAAGAGTGAAATTTTTTTGAAAAGGCATCACTTTTAAAAATTATGCTCAGGGGAAGCAATCACTCCTCTTGTTCTCCCTCTTGCTATGCCACTGGTAAGTGTGTGTTGTATAAGTTTTTTGTTTAATGGAAAAACTATTCACTACTTTGTGGATGTTTTATAGATAACAAAGCAGATATGGATAATGAATGGGATCACTGCGAGGAAACACAGGTGGAAGGCAACAACTAAAGGATCTAAAGAGAAGATGAGAATTATTTAGTGCAAAGGTAATGAGCAAGTTGGGTGTACATGTTAGTGAGAGATATAGTAGAAGCTAGCTCCAGACCTGAGATCAGATGGTAAAAGATAATGATAAAGATTTTATTTTTTTGCTAAGGTTACAATGTGTAATTACAATTTTGATTTGTTAAGTATGCACAGCACTAGGAGAAGAGAGAGTAGAAGCTGAGTCCAAATACATAGTTCATACAACCGCCTCATGAAACATAATACAGGATGGTTGGTAATTACTTATTAGTAGCTACAGGAGCAAAGTTATGCTTACAATGTCTTGTCTTTAGAATTGCAGTGATTTATCATCTACTTTTTTAATGCATTCAGTTTTTCTGCCACTCTGTGTACAAAATTTCTAGTATGGTATCTTTTTGACTCACATTTTCTCAATTTATAAATATGGTTAAGAGGCATTGACTCAAGGATAGGGGTAGAACTTCACAAGAACAAAGAGGTAAATACTCACCTGCATACCAATGTATTACAGGTCGGCCATCACTAATCCGGCAATCAGTTATCCAGTTCTTTGAGTAATCCGGCACTAATTTTGGCTTGCATAATTTCAGATTTCATCATTATACTGACTCAAATTTCAGAAATTGTGCAGATGATTGTAAATCCACAGCAGCAAGCCCAGTGGAGGAGAAAGCAGTGATGAAAATGAGGAAATGTAGAAGAGGTGAGTCTCTATTGATAGGTTAATTAAGTGTATCCTAAGCTAACCACTCTGTAATCTGGCAAACTCACCAAACCGGCACACTACAGGTCCCTGTGATGCCGGATTAGTGATGGCCGACCTGTATAATGAATTTACACTACAGTGGACCCCCGGTTAACGATTTTAATCCGTGCAAGAGGGCTCATCGTTATGCGAAATAATCGTTATGCGAATTAATTTTCCCCATAAGAAATAATGGAAATCAAATTAATCCGTGCAAGACGCCCAAAAGTATGAAAAAAAATTTTTTTTACCACATGAAATGTTAATTTTAATACACACAAACTGAAAAAGGCATGCACAATTACATGACACTTACTTTTATTGAAGATCTGGTGATGATTGATGGGATGGGAGGAGGGGAGAGCATTATCTTCTTACTGTTTAGAAGGGGAATCCCCTTCCATTAGGACTTGAGGTAGCAAGTCCTTTTCTGGGGTTACTTCCCTTCTTCTTTTAATGCCACTAGGACCAGCTTCAGAGTCACTGGACCTCTGTCGCACAACAAATCTGTCCATAGAGCTCTGTACCTCCCGTTTCTTCAAGACTTTCCTAAAATGGGCCATAACATTGTCATTGAAATAGTCACAAGCACGGCTTGCAACAGCTGTGTCAGGGTGATTTTCATCTATAAAGGTTTGCAGTTCAAACCACTCTGCACACATTTCCTTAATCTTTGAAGTAGGCACAATGGATTCCACAACTGGCATAGGCTTCTCAGGGTTAGCCCCAAACCCTTCAAAATCTTTCTTAATTTCCATACTAATTCTCACCCTTTTTACCACAGGTTGGCACTAGAAGCTTTCTTGGGCCCATGGTCACTTATTTTCCAGAAACACCACCGAAAACACTGTAATAATACGAAATATTCCGAGTGTATGCTTGGATGTTACCGCGGAGGCTGGCTGGTAAACAATGGGACGGCCGGCACATGTGAGGGCACATTGGACGCGTCTCGGACGAAAATCGGTATGCGGGTTTTTAATCGGTATGCGGGGCAAAAATTTTGCGATAAAAGTAATCGTTATGCGGAAAAATCGCTATGCGATGCCATCGTTATGCGGGGGTCCACTGTATTTGTAAATTTCTACTCGAGAATCAACACCATTATCATATTCTTTATTTCATAGCTGCGTAATTTTGTCTGGTCGTGTCATTTGGTGGGTGAAGAGTTACCTGCCAGGAGTGTGATCTCTGATCCCCCAGCCAACAGAAGTGCATACACAGAGGAGGACCGAGGTGGATGCTGGGGGCAGGGACCTGCCTGGATGTCCAACATCAAGCCCACATTTAATATTAATGTCAGTATTTTCCGGAATCCTCATAAGACTTACAGTCTTCAAATTACAGTGAGTCCTTTTATCATTAGTGTACCTCTTTTATGAGTAATATTGCATAATAATAATAATAATAATAATAATAATAATAATAATAATAATAATAATAATAATAATAATAATACGTTACTTAATTTTTGGTAAAATTTCTTTTATATTCAATGGTGTTATAGTGAAGACTAATTATTTCGCACTTTTTTTATAACTGTAATACGTACAGTATACTGTAGCCTTTTCTTTATACTTATTATTTTGTGCTGTTTTATAAATACAGTACAGTGTACTGTGTCTTTTTATGTTTTTAATTTCATTCTACTGAATCATTCTGCAGGCCAAGTTTTCCTGGGGTCCAGTGGTTACTGCTGTATTGTGCAGATCTAACCTAGTTTTTTTTTTTTTAACACATCGCCTGTTTCCCACCAAGGCACAGTGACCCAAAAAGAAAGAAAAACCCAAAAGGAAAGAAAAATACTTTCATCATCATTCAACACTTTCACTATCACTCATACATAATCATTGTCTTTGCAGAGGTACTCAGATACAACAGTTTAGGAGTCCCTCCAAACTGCCTAGTTCATCATATATAATTATTTCATTATAATTCTATCTTGCTCTGCCTTTCAGTTTCTCTTTGTGTCTGTTTATGCCTCTCTTTCCTTCTGACAGGTCTTTTCTGCTTAGCAGAATGATCCCCACACTTTAACACTCTTTTGTTACGTTTAATATTATCATAACTTCATTTTTTACTTTTTAACAAGATCAAAGTATATTTACAGTAGAGTGTGTACTTTTCTTTCATCCTGTTCCTATTTTTTCTTTTCATGGGGAAAAATTTTGTTTCATAGTGAGATGTATTTAAAAAGTGTTTGACCTGATTAATTTGGTTTAGAATCACTAACTAAGGGCAAATTTAATTATGTACAGTTTTCTGTACTATAAAATTGTCATAATGAATGAATAAAACCGCTATCATACTATGTATGAATCTGACAGCCCAAATGCCTCAAAAGTAAAATTCCAAAGAATTTTTTTTACCATATTGGCCATTTCCCACCAAGGATGACCAAAAAAAGGGGAACACATTCATCATTATTTATTTTGTAGCTGTGTTGTTTAAGTTGTTGAATAATATTGTTTAATAATGATGGCAGAATTGATGTACTGTACCTGATAATGGTATTTTTGCTAGTAAGTACAGTTTTGCTGTACTGGTTTTTGACTGTCAATAAGTAAATATTGTACTTCACCATTTTAACTTTTGTTTATATCATGTTGTGCTGGACTAATAGTAAGAATATGTAAAGCTATGAAGGGAATAGTCCCTTTCCCTGATGTACTCCTCGAGTGCCCATTAAACCAGGAATTTCAGTCTGGGCTCATGGTGAATTGAAATGTCCCGTATAGGGATTGTATCCCCTGTTGTCTTCCCATTTTGCTCAATTAAGTGCCCTCTTTTACTAAATCCTATAATCACCTGCAGGTTTGTTTATTTTCTTATCCTGCATTTTTAGTGTTACATTTTTTTAATCATCTCCTCAATCCCAGGCTGAGAGTGACGATGGTCGGCAGAATACTGCATCTTGGAAGTCGAGGGTTTTGGAGGGCAACCCACCAACGCTAGTGTCTGCTGCTCACCACCCTGGTTCTGTAGACAGATTTCAGGTGCTCAGCTTGTCAACCCAGCCAAGCAATTATTAAAGTGGTTGTGAGTTGAAGGTAAGCTCTTTGAAAGTGAAGATAAACAATTAGAAGATATAGAGAAGTGTTTCTTAGGTGTATTGAAGATAACTGACTCAGAAAAGAAAGAAAAAAATACATTTAAAAAGCAACCTAGGAGGGTGTTGGGTGAGTAATTCTGTGGCATATGAGTAGAAGAGAAAACTTTCTTAGAGTTATATTATTTAACCAAAGGGTTATTCAAATTCTAATTCAATTTTTATTTCCTTATGCAGTACACACTAATGTAGTTTATCTGTAATAAAATCATTGTTAGGCACAAAAGAAAGCCACAATTACAATGCATTTTGGGCAAATCCTAATGCTTAACCCTTTGACTGTCGCGGTCGTATATATACGTCTTACGAGGTACCGTGTTTGTATATATATACTCATAATTCTGCGGCTTCAAATCAAGAAGGAGAAAGCTGGTAGGCCCACATGTGGAAAAATGGGTCTGTGTGCCAGTCACAGTGTGCATCATATAAAAAAAATTCTGGAGCACGCAGTGCATAATGAGAAAAAAAAAACTCCGACTGTTTTTTAATTAAAATGCCCCACTTTGTGGTCTTTTTCGTATAGTATTTATGGTTGTATCCTCGTTTTCTTGGTCTCTTATGATAGAATGGAAAACATATTATAGAAATAGAGGGGATTTTGATTGATTTTACTATAAAAAGAACTGGAAATGGAGATCAAAAGTAGGGAAATTTTGATTTTTTCCGATGTTCAAAAGTAAACAAATGATGTCATTGTCCAATAAATGTCCAACTAGCCATTCTAGTATGCAGTCTGGATGGGTTGATGTTATTTATACAATTATTTTCAGTATTGCAGTAGTCTGCTTAGTAAATCTTCTATTTTTTGTTTGAATAAAAATCAAAATAGAAAGCAAGAGTAATATCAGAGGGGCCTGGAGACGTGACTGATGAACAAAGAAAATGTTAATTTAGAGCCAGAAATGTCTGCATTGTTCATTCTGGACCTTATTTTGAAATTGTCATATTTTTTAATTTCGTGAAATTGGCCAAATTGCAAATTTCTGACCAAGTTATTGGGTAGTTGAAATTGGTAAATGGGCAGTTTCTTGTACTCAGTCAATAGAAAAAAGCGGAGTTCTAAAGAAATAGCAATGATTTTTGGTCGACTGGTACCATGAATTAGCCGAAAATAGGGCTCAAAGTGGGCGAAATCGCCGATTTGTAAATATTGCCGAGGTCACTAACTTCGTGAAAGTGTAATTCCATCAGTTTTCCATCAAATTTCGTTTTTTTGGTGTCATTACAATCAGGAAAAGATTCTATATCATTTCTTTAAGAATTTTTTTTTTTTTTTTTTTTTTAAATTTGTGACACCAGGAGACACCTCAGGATTGGGGGGTTGCGACAGTCAAGGGGTTAAAGACTCCCTCCCATCCTACTCCTTTACTCTCTCCCATCCTATTCCTTTACATGCTCCCATCCTATTCCTTTACATGCTCCCATCCTATTCCTTTACTCACTTCCATCTTATTCCTTTCCCTTGCTCCCATCCTATTCCTCCTCATATCTGACATAGAGATGTAAGCCATAGCTCCTTGTCTTCTTTTGTGGATGACACCCGAACTGCCATGACAGTGTCCTCCGTCGAAGACACCACAAGACTCCAAGCAGACATCAGCGAAATCTTCAAATGTGTAACTGAAAACAATATGAAGTTTAAGGCAGGTGAAATTGCTGACCTGGAGAATATACAGAGAATTTTCATGGCATACATAAGTATGATAAAGCACCTAAATTACTGGGAATGTTGAAGGTCCTTGATCTGCATTCCCTTGAATGCAGGTGAGAGAGGTACATGATAATATACACTTGGAAGGTCCTGGAAGGATTGGCACCAAACTTGCACACGAAAATCACTCCCTATGAAAGCAAAAGACTTGGCAGGAGATGCAACATTCCCCCGATGAAAAGCAGGGCGCCATGAGTACATTGAGAGTCATTACAATAAGTGTCCGGGGCCCAAGACTGTTCAATTGCCTCCCAGCATACATAAGGGGGATTACCAATAGACCCCTGGCTGTCTTCAAGAAGGCACTGGACAGGCACCTAAAGTCAGTACCTGACCAACTGGCTGTGGTTCGCACTTCAGCTTGCATGCGGCCAGCAGTAACAGCCTGGTTGATCAGACCCTGATCCACCGTGAGGCCTGGTCTCAGACCAGGCCGCGGGGGGCGTTGACCCCCGAAACCCCTCTCCAGGTAAAGTCCAAGTAAGTGAAGGTAACTGAAGAAAATGAGAAACATGAGTAAACATGAGCCATTGTGCACAGATGAGTTAAGTTCTTCTTCTAATAAAATTAAATGGTAATGAACTCGTATGAAGGTCGGTAAGTCTAAGATGACAGTATATACAGTTAATAAAATAATGGCCTGAGACAGATCCTGGAGAGAAAAACAGTGCCAAATAAAATGTCACATTAGTTGCACATGTCTTTTTATCTAACATTAGTTAAATAGGTTATTGTATATAAATTTTAATTCACAGATATAAATAAATTTGTTGTAATCCATATTGCTGTGCAATGCAAGTCATTTAGTTATACAGTGTATAAGCACAGTGATTCTGTAATCCTTAAGTTGTCAGTGATTTGTTTGCTTTTACTATAGTTTTATATGTATATTTTTATGCAGGCCTTGTTAATCAAAAACCAAAACTTCAGTGGTAAATGTAGATGCAGTAATTACAGAATTATTACCATTTTATATAGTACAGTATAAGACTTGTGTTAGTGGTATATCATATAGAATTTCATCTACATATTAATTTTCCTGATAAAAAGTTCCCAATTAAAAAATGTGTAGATGTTTTAAATGCTACATTACATTCTTGTTTACATTACACTTGTTTAATTATTAACTTAAATTTATTGCCACTGAAATTAAATCAAAATGGTAGCCAGGGAAGAGCGTGTTGGTGAGGATGGGTGCGGAGAAGTTCCTGTACATTACTCCTGGAGGGTGTTTGGTGTCGAGTCGCCTGGTGGGGGCACAAAACTACTGGATATTACTGCTGTCACTGTAGGTATGGCTCACCTACTTCCAATATCCAATGACTGTTTTGAATTTTATGAATTACATGTTATGTATTTGTGAAGGGTTTGTGAATTATGACAGTGCTCATTTGATTAAATAAAATCTTCAACTTAGAATGATTAGTTCATGATGTCTAAAAAAAAATTGTTTAGACTACCCTGACTAACCTTAACAGGTCCAGTTTTAGTTTTTGAGGCTGACAGATGTTATGGAAATTTTAGTGCTGTATGCATCAGGTATTCATTTAATATGTAGGATAAAGCCAACCTGTTAAAAAAAAAAAAAAAGCAAAATTCACTGACATACATTCAGTAAATGTGTTACAAGGGTATCATTGACCCAAATTGCCAGCATCAAGCTCTATTAGTTTATGAAAATCTATCTTCCCTTGTCCTAGGAAGTAGGTTGGTAGACAGCAACTGCCCAGGGAGGTACTACTGTCCTGTCAAGTGAGTGTAAAACAAAAGCCTGTAATTGTTTTACATGATGGTAGGATTGCTGGTGTCTTTTCTCCTGTCTTATAAAAATGCAAGATTTCAGGTATGTCTTGCTACTTCTACTTACACTTATGTCACACTACACTTGCATGTACAAGTATATAGTATATACTTCACACCCCTCTGGGTTTTCTTCTTTGTTCTTACTAGTTCTTGTTCTTTTTTATTTCCTCTTATCTCCATGGGGAGGTGGAACAAAATTCTTCCTCAATAAGCCATGCGTGTCGTAAAAGGCGACTAAATGTTGGGAGCATGGGCTAGTAACCCTTTTTCCTGTATACATTACTAAAGTTTAGCAGAGAAACTTTTTGTTTTTCTTTTTAGGCCACCCTGCCTCGGTGGGATACGGCCAGTTTGTCGAAAGAAGATCTTCTCCTGAGTAAACTAAATTCTTTGTTAATTAAATATACAGTAGTAAAAAGCAAAAATCTTTAAAGGCTTTAATTATGATATATTTTTGGGTAACATTTATAAAGGGATACAGGGATACTGGTTACTTGGACCTGAGTCCTGGAGGTGGGAAGTATAGTATCTGTACTCTGACATATGGGTAGGGATATTTGCAGTTTTGAACTGTAGTATCAGCACCACTCTGGCAAGACAGTGATGGAGGGAATGATGGTGAAAGTGTTTCTTCTTTTTTGGGTCAGTCTACCTCAGTGGGAGATGGCCAGTTTGTTGAAAAAAATTTTTGTCTCCATTTGTATATAGTTATGTATTGTGTGCAGATAAAATATAGCAAAATCCAGAGCAAATTACCTAAAGCTTGTGAAATATTGGTAGATTATCGGTTGGCTAAGGAAACTATCTAATGTTAGTCATTAGTTATTAAATACTAATATTTGTTGATCATAGATGAAGAAGGAGCTCCCCCTCAGTGATGATTTTTATTCTTTCTTTCAACAAACTGGCCATATCCCACTCAGGCAGGGTGGCCCAAAAAGAAAAAGAAAAGTTTCTCTTTTAAATTTAGTAATTTATACAGGAGAAGGGGGTTTCTAGCCCCTTGCTCCCGGCATTTTAATCGCCTCTTACAACACACATGGCTTACGGAGGAAGAATTTTCTGTTCCACTTCCCATGGAGATAACAGGAAATAAACAAGAACAAGAATTAGTAAGAAAATAGAAGAAAACCCAGAGGGGTGTGTATATACAGTGGACCCCCGCATAACGATCACCTCCGAATGCGACCAATTATGTAAGTGTATTTATGTAAGTGCGTTTGTACGTGTATGTTTGGGGGTCTGAAATGGACTAATCTACTTCACAATATTCCTTATGGGAACAAATTCGGTCAGTACTGGCACCTGAACATACTTCTGGAGTGAAAAAATATCGTTAACCGGGGGTCCACTGTATATATATATATTTTTATATATACATATATATAATATATATATATATATATATATATATATAAAATTAATATATATATTATATATATATATATATATATATTTTCTTATAGTCGGACTTGAGTCCTGGAAATGGGAAGAAACAATGCCTGCACTTTAAAGGAGGGGTTTGGGATATTGGCAGTTTGGAGGGATATGTTGTGTATCTTTATACGTATATGCTTCTAAACTGTTGTATTCTGAGCACCTCTGCAAAAGCAGTGATAATGTGTGAGTGTGGTGAAAGTGTTGAATGATGATGAAAGTATTTTCTTTTTGGGGATTTTTTTAAATTTTTTTTGGGTCATCCTGCCTCGGTGGGAGACGACCAACTTGTTGAAAAAAACAAAAAAAATTTTTTTTTTTTTTTTTTTTCAACAAGTTGGTCGTCTCCCACCGAGGCAGGGTGACCCAAAAAAGTAAGAAAATCCCCAAAAAGAAAATACTTTCATCATCATTCAACACTTTCACCACACTCACACATTATCACTGCTTTTGCAGAGGTGCTCAGAATACAACAGTTTAGAAGCATATACGTATAAAGATACACAACATATCCCTCCAAACTGCCAATATCCCGAGCCCCTCCTTTAAAGTGCAGGCATTGTATTCCCATTTCCAGGACTCAAGTCCGACTATAAGAAAATAACTGATTTCCCTGAATCCCTTCACTAAATATTACCCTTCTCACTCCAACAGATCGTCAGGTCCCAAGTATCATTCGTCTCCATTCACTCCTATCTAACATGCTCATGCACGCTTGCTGGAAGTCCAAGCCCCTTGCCCACAAAACCTCCTTTTACCCCCTCTTTCCAACCCTTTCGAGGACGACCCCTACCCCTCTTTCCTTCCCCTATAGATTTATATGCTTTCCATGTCATTCTACTTTGATCCATTCTCTCTAAATGACCAAACCACTCAACAACCCCTCTTCTGCCCTCTGACTAATGCTTTTATTAACTCCACACCTTCTCCTAATTTCCACACTCCGAATTTTCTGCATAATATTTACACCACACTTGCCCTTAGACAGGACATCTCCACTGCCTCCAACCGTCTCCTCGCTGCTGCATTTACCACCCAAGCTTCACATCCATATTTAAAAGTGTTGGTACTACTATACTTTCATACATTCCCTTCTTTGCCTCATAGATAACGTTTTTTGACTCCACATATACCTCAACGCACCACTCACCTTTTTTCCCTCATCAATTCTATGATTAACCTCATCCTTCATAAATCCATCCGCCGACACATCAACTCCCAAGTATCTGAAAACATTCACTTCTTCCATACTCCTCCTCCCCAATTTGATATCCAATTTTTCTTTATCTAAATCATTTGATACCCTCATCGCCTTACTCTTTTCTATGTTCACTTTCAACTTTCTACCTTTACACACATTCTCAAACTCATCCACTAACCTTTGCAATTTTTCTTTAGAATCTCCCATAAGCACAGTATCATCAGCAAAAAGTAACTGTGTCAATTCCCATTTTGAATTTGATTCCCCATAATTTAATCCACACCCTCTCCCGAACACCCTAGCATTTACTTCGTTTACAACCCCATCTATAAATATATTAACCCTTTGACTGTCGAAGGGCCCAATCCTGAAGTTGCTCCTGGTGTCGCAAAATATTCGAAAAAAAAAAAAAATTATTTTTCTTATGAAATGATAGAGAATCTTTTCCCGATTGTAAAGACACCAAAAAAAAACGAAATTTGATGGAAAACTGACGGAATTACGCTCTCGCGAAGTTAGCGACTTCGGCGATATTTAAAAATCGGCAATTTCGCCCACTTTGAGCCCTATTTTCGGCTAATTCCGTTATTCCAGTCAACCAATCTCATAACTATTTCTTCAGAACTCTATTTTTTCTATCGATTGAGCACAAGAAACTGCCCATTTACCGATTTCAACTACCCAATAACATGGTCAGAAATTTGCAATTTGGCCAATTTCACGAAAATTAAAAAATACGACAATTTCAAAATAATGTCCAGAATGAACAATGCAGACATTCCTGGCTCTAAAATAAGATTTTCTTTGTTCATCAGTCATGTCTGCAGGTCCCTGTGATATTACTCTTTGTTTTTATTTTGAAATTTTATTCAAAAAAAAAATAGAAGATTTACTGTTATGCAGACTACTGCAATCCTGTAATTAATTGTAAAATTACAGCAAACCCATTCATTGTACTGGTATTTAGATTGGCTATTGGACATTGATTGGACAATGACATCATTTGTTTACTTTTGAACATCGGCAAAATCAAAACCATATCCTGTACTTTGTGCTCCATTTTCAGGTTCTTTTTATAGTTCTAAAATTAATCAAAATCACCTCCATTTCTATAATATAGTTTCATTCTATCAAATGAGACTCCATGGAAAACGAGAATACACACAAATTACTATACGAAAATAGACCACAAAGTCGCATTTTAATTAAAAAAAACCGGTCGGTCGGAGGTTTCTTGTTTCTCCTTATGCACTGCGTGCTCAGGATTTTTTTTATGTGGTGCACACTGACACACAGGGACCCATTCTCTCACATGTGGGCCTTACTAGCTTTCTCCTGCCTGATTTGAAGCCGCTAGAATTTATGAGTATTATACGTCAAAACACGTATCACAAACGTATATATACGGCGCGACAGTCAACTGGGTTTAATACAACCATGTTGACATTTACAAATCCCTGTCTAGACCCTACTTATACGGGAAGTAGGCTCCCTCTCTTCTACACACCTCCTTTAACCTGAGCATCACTATCCCTCATAAAAAGCTCTTTACAGCATTTAGTAACTACCACCTATTCATAACTTGCAACATCTGCCACACTTGCTCTCTATCCACTATATCATATGCCTTTTCTATCCTAAATGCAATAAAAAATTCCCTACCTTTATTTCTAAATACTGGTTCACAATATGCTTCAATGTAACAAATGATATCTACCATCCCTACCCACTCTGAAGCCTCCTCATTGCTAATCGCCAATTCTACATTTCTGTCTTACCTTCTAATCTTTCAAATATAACTCTACGTATACTTTTCTGGTTTTACTCGTAAAACTTATTCCTCTGTAATTTTTACAATCTCTTTTGTCCCTTTCCCTTCTATATAAGGTACTAACACGCTCCGCCAATCCCTAGGTACCTTCCCCTCTTTCATACATTTATTAAACAATTGTACCAACCACTCCAACACTATATTCCCCCATGCTTTTAACATTTCTGTATGATCCATTCAGTTTCCAGCTGCTTTACCCTTTTCTATCATTTAAGTAATGCCTCACGACCTCCACCACCACTTACATTTGCTCTTCTTCCTCCTAAAAAGATGTGTATACCTCCCTGGCCAGTGCAGAAATTACCGCCTCCTTCTTCCTCAAATTTAAAGTTCTTCAAAATTTCTCGTCACTACCTAATTACCTCCCTCTTCCCATATACTAACTCCCCTACTCTGTTTTACCTGGACCCCCCCCCCACACTACCCCCCACTTTCCTAGGCTTTCTTAACTTGTTTAAACTCACTCCAAATATTTTCTGAATTTTCATTAAAATTTCTTGACAGTGCCTCTCCCAGTCTTTCATCTGCTCTCCTTTTGCACTCTCTCACCACTCTCTTCACCTTTCTTTTACTCTCCATATACTCTGCTCTTCTTATAACACTTCTGCTTTGTAAAACCTCTCGTAAGCTACCTTTTTCTCTTTATCACAACCCTTTACTTCATCATCCCACCAATCACTCCTCTTTCCTCCTGCCCCCACCCTCCTATAACCACAAACTTCTGCCCCACATTCTAATACTGCATTTTTAAAACTAATTCCAACCCTCTTCAACCCCCCCACACTCATCTTTTCACTAGCCCAACCTTTCTGCCAATAATCGCTTATATCTCGCCCGAACTTCTCCTCCCTTAGTTTAAAACACTTTCACCTCCCTCTTACTTGTTGTCTGCCACCTTCCTCTTTTCCCATCTACCTCTTACTCTAACTGTAGCTACAACTAAATAATGATCTGATATATCAGTTGCCCTCTATAAACATGTACTCCTGGACCTACCCACACCTTTTATCCACCAATACATAATCTAACAAACTACTTTTAAATTACGTGCTACACATACCTTGTAATTTATTACCTCTTTTTCATAAATTATGATTACTTATTACCAAATTTCTTCTACACATAGCTCAATTAAAGCTCCCAATTTACATTTACCCCTGCACCCAAAATTTACCTACCTACTCACTCCATAACATTTTTACCCACTTTAGCATTGAAATCCCCAACCACCATTACTCCCACTTTGATTCAAACTCCCCACGCAATTCACTCAACTTCCCACAGAATCTCTCTCTCTCCTCTACACTTCTCTCTTCTCCAGTGCATACACGCTTACTATAACCCCTTTTCACAATCCAATCTTATTTTACTCCACATAATCCTTGAATTTATGCATTTGAGTCCCTCTTTTCCTGCCATAGCTTATTTTTCAACATTTACTGCTACTCCTTCTTTAGCTCTAACTCTATTTGAAAACCCCTGACCTAATCCCATTTATTCCTCTCATTGAAACTCTCCCACCCCCTTCAGCTTTGTTTCACTTAAAAGCCAGGACATCCAGTTTCTTCTCATTCATAACATCCACAATCATCTCTTTCTTATCAATTGCACAACATCCACGCACATTCAGACTTCCCATCTTTGACAATTTTCTTATTATTATTCTTTTTAGTAATCTTTACAGGAAAAGGAGTTACTAGCCCATTTTTTCCCCGGCATTTATTGACTTTTACAACACGCATGCTTATGGATGAAAGATCTTATTCCACTTCCCCATGGATATAAAAGGAAAATAATAAGACCCGAACTATTAAGATAAAATCAAGAAAACTCAGATGATGTGTATAAATAAACATGTACATCTATGTGTAGTGGACCTAAGTGTAAGTATAAGTAGCAAGATGTACCTGTAATCTTGCATATTTATGAGACAGACAAAAGACACCAGCAATCCTACCATCATTAAACAATTACTGGCTTTCATTCTACACTCACTTGGCAGGACGGTAGTACCCCTGTGTGGTTGCAGTCTACCAACAACCTTCCTTCTAAATATATTATATACATTATATATATATATATATATATATATATATATATATATATATATATATATATATATATATATATATATTTTTTTTTTTTTCAACAAGTTGGTCGTCTCCCACCGAGGCAGGGTGACCCAAAAAAGAAAGAAAATCCCCAAAAAGAAAATACTTTCATCATCATTAAACACCTTCACAACTCACACTTATCACGCTTTCAGTATATATAATATATATATATTATATAATATATAAAATATATATATATATATATATATATATATATATATATATATATATATATATATATATATAATATATATATATATAATATATATATATATAATATATATATAATATATATATATATATATATATATATATATATTCTCCATGGGGAAGTGGAACAGAATTCTTCCTCCGTAAGCTATGTGTGTTGTAAGGCGACTAAAATGCCGGGAGCAAGGGGCTAGTAACCCCTTCTCCTGTATATATTACTAAATTTGGAAGGAGAAACTTTCTTTTTTTCCTTTTGGGCCACCCCACCTCGGTGGGTTATGGCTGGTATGTTGAAAGAACAGAAAGATATACATGTACATATATATATGCTTTTACATGTATGTGTAGTGTGATCTAAGTGTAAGAAGAAGTAGCAAGACGTACCTGAAATCTTGCATGTTTGTGAGACAGAAAAAAGACACCAGCAATCTTACCATCGTGTAAAACAATTACAGGTTTCCATTTTACACTCACTTGACAGGACGGTAGTAACTCCTAGGCGGTTGCTGTCTACCAACCTACTACCTAGATGATTTTATTCTATAATTATTTAAATATTTTCTGTATATGTTTATCAGGAAGAAATCAGTTTAAATTGGCTCTCTTGGATGAATTTTGGGAGAAGTATGGCTCATCCTATGAACTGTTTGATGTAGAAGTCAGTGCTCACCGAGCTGAGGAAACCTCAGAGGGTAAGTGTTTTTATTGCTTGATAAACTCTGAAATAAATCAAATGGACTCTGGTAAAATGTAGAATCTGATGTATATTTTGCTTTCTTTACTTCTTATTAGAGTTGTAATTTGTTTTATTGCATCATACATAATTTTATATCATAATTCATTAGAGCTCACTCTAACATAGGAATTATAGGTTTGGCACTGTGCAGAGCATTGACCACATTGTTAAGTCCTATCCAAAATTTTGCTCAGGACTGGTTGATTCTCTTTTCAGCATAATAATAATAATAATAATAATAATAATAATAAATAATAATAATAATAATAATAATAATAATAATAATAATAATAATATTTTATTTCAGCATGATACAGTGGTTGAACGAAAAAGAATGAATGACATTAGGTGTACATGCTGAAAGCAACTGTATATGCAGAGCATTTCAGACTAACTGAAGACTAACTTTAGATTAAGAGGGCAATAACAATAAGTTGTAAATTTAGGAGTTTACATGGTACATGGAAAAAAAAATAAGCATTTCTTTTATTTATATTGAGAGGATATTTCATCATTTGTACAAATTTCATTACTCTGTGACCCCCAACAGGTTCAGTGCTTCTTCAGTATTAAAATTAATAAATATACTAAGTTTTCAGAAATTATGGTAATGTTCTCAGCCGTTATCAATTTCAGCCATACATCAAGAGATATGCTTATTTTTGGTATCAAAAATTAGCCTTTTACATATACTAATCCATAAGTTGAACTGGCTTTCTTTAATTCAAGAGAAGTAATCATTAATTAAATATACTATAAATTTTTTAACTAAATATTTAGTTAATAATTAACCTGCCTTCCACCTCTTCCATAATAAAAAGTCATCATTTATTTTTATGCAAAATTTTACAGTTATGTGGTGGACTAAAATAAAGATGATTGAGTTGATGGACTAGGATGAAAATGATTGGGTTGAAAAGAAATTATTAGTTCTTAGTTTTAAGAGTCCAAATATCTTGAAGGGTATGCTTCCTTTGTGTGCACTGATTACTTTATTTTCCTTAGTATACGTACAATGAATATTGCAATTAAGCTTTGCTGTTATCTTATAATCAAAGTTTCATGCTGAAAATATTTTCTTATACCTCACTAAGGGATCTTTATACTTCAGGTCTTGCTGTCCAGCGTATTCAGATCAACAAAGCACCAGTTGGAGGGTCCTGCAGTGCAGAGATTCTGAAGTCCTCCACTGAGGAAGATGAAGTGCAGGAGAAGAGCGCTGGTGAGGCCGTGCCCATCTTGCCTGTCACAGCTCTTGTTGACAAGGTCGTTTGTAACTGCACTGGCTGGCAAGATCCAGAGGGTTTTGAGATACCCAAATACTCTTTCTTTGGTAGGTTGATCTTTGTACTTAAATGAATGGGAATGTGGGAGACAGGTAATGTGTAAACAAAAATGGAATATATATATACACTGTATAAGTATATAGTATATCTCCATGGGAAGTGGAACAGAATTTTTCCTCCGTAAGCCATGTGTGTTGTAAGAGGCGACTAAAATGCTGGGGGCAAGGGGCTAGTAACCTCTTCTCTTGTATAAATTACTAAATTTAAAAAGAGAAACTTTTGTTTTTCTTTTTGGGCCACCCTGCCTTGGTGGGATACGGCTGGTTTGTTGAAAAGAAAAAGAAGAAAAAAAAGGATATATATACAGTGGTCCCTCGATAATCGTAGGGCTCGATAGTCGTAGTTTTCGGAAATCGTAACGATATTTTCGTCAAAACATTGGCTCGCTAATCGTAGATTGACTCGCAAATAGTCATTCGTCCTGGACGCGTACTCATGCTCTGAGCCGCCCCGGCCTCCCTTCCCAGATAGTGTTGCATTGTTTACCAGTGAGTGACGATACCCTCACTTGCTCATACGAAATATTTCATAATATTCCATTCATTTTAGTGCTTGCAACTACTAAATAAGCTACCATGGCTCCAAAGAAAGCTAGTGCCAAGCCTTTGGCAAAGAAGGTGAGAAATACGATTGAATTTAAGAAAAACATCATTGAACAATATGAAAGTGGCGTACGTATGGCCGAACTGGCCAGGATGTAACAAACCCCATACAACCATAGCTTTCATCGTGGCCAAGAAAAAGTAAATCAAGGACGCTGTTGTTGCAAAGGGGATAAATATGCTGACAAAAATGAGATCACCAGTACTCGAAGAGGTTGAGAAGTTATTATTGGCATGGATAAACGAGAAACAATTAGCAGGAGATAGTCTTATGTTGTCGATTATTTGTGAAAAGGCTAGGCAGTTGCACGACGATCTGGTAAAGAAATTGCCTGCAACTAGTGGTGATGTGAGTGAATTTAAGGCCAGCAAAGGTTGATTTGATAGATTTAAGAACTGTAGTGGCATACACAGTGTGGTAAGGCATGGTGAGGCTGCCAGTTCGGACCACAAAGCGGCTGAAAAACATGTGCATGAATTCAAGGAGTACATAGAGGCTGAAGGACTGAAACCTGAACAAGTGTTCAGTTGTGACGAAACAGGCCTCTTTTGGAAGAAAATGCCAAAGAGGACTTACATTACTCAGGAGGAAAAGGCACTGCCAGGACACAAGCCTATGAAAGACAGGCTGACGCTCATGTTCTGTGCTAATGCTGGTGGGGATTTCAGAGTGAAGCCATTACTAGTGCACCATTCTGAAAATCCCAGGGTGTTCAGGAAAAAACAATGTTATGAAGAGTAAATTGTGTGTGTTTTAGAAATCTAATAGTCAGGCATGGGTCACGAGGGAAATTTTCGTCGAGTGGTTCAATGAAGTGTTTGGCCCTAGTGTGAAGAATTACCTCCTGGAAAAGAAATTGGATCTCAAGTGCCTGCTAATAATGGACAATGCACCTGCTCATCCTCCAAACTTGGATGACCTAATTTTCGAGGAGTTTGGGTTTATCACAGTAAAGCTCTTGCCCCCGAATACCACTCCTCTCCTCCAGCCCATGGACCAGCAGGTCACTGCAAACTTTAAAAAACTCTACACCAAAGCAGTGTTTCAAAGGTGCTTGAATGTGACCTCAGACACTCACTTGACCCTAAGAGATTTTTGGAGAGAACACTTCAGCATCCTCCATTGCATAAGCCTTATAGGTATGGCTTGGGAGGAAGTGACTACCAGGACTTTGAACTCTGCTTGGAGAAAATTATGGCCAGATTGTGTCCACAAGAGGGATTTTGAAGGGTTTGGGGCTAACCCTGATGAGCCTATGTCAGTTGTTAAATCTATTGTGGCTCTGGGGAGTTCCATGGGGTTGGATGTGAGTTTGGAGGATGTGAAAGAGTTGGTGGAAGACCACAATGAAGAGCTCACCACTGAGGAGCTGCAAGAGCTTCAGCAGGAAGAGCAACAGATCGCAGCTCAGAATCTTGCTGCACAGGAGGAGAAAGATAGATGGAAGAAGTTGCCTTCTTCAGACATTAAGGAGATTTTTGAAATGTGGGGTAAAATGGAAAGATGTATGGAGAAATATCACCCTGACAAGGCTGTTGCAAGCCATGTTGGCAACATGTACAGTGACAAAGTCTTGGCCCCTTTTAGGGAAGTGTTAAAGAGATGCCAGAAACAGAGCTCTCAGGACTCCAGTGACTTTCAAGCTAGTCCTAGTGGCATTAAGAAACAGAGAAGAGAAATAACCCCAGAAAAGCAATTGGTATCTGAGGTGTTGATGGAAGGGGATTCCCCTTCCAAACTGTAAATAATCCAATCTCTCTCCTCCTCCAGTCTTCCATACACTAAGAAGAATTGCCAATAAAGGTAAGTGTTATGCTGTTAATGTTTCATTCATCATGTCCCATTGTATTGTTTATGTACTACATCTGTATTTCATGTAAAAAATTTTTTTGTTTTAGTACTTCTGGGTGTCAGGAACGGATTAATTGTATTTACATTATTTCTTATGGGGAAAATTGATTCGAAAATCGTAAATTTCGATAATAGTAACACTTCCTGGAATGGATTAATTATGATAAACGAGGGACCACTGTATGTATATTTTTTCTCAACACATTGACTAACTGGAGATGGGAAGTACAATGCATGCACTTTAAAGGAGGGGTTTGGGATATTGGCTGTTTGGAGTGACATCTAAACTGTCGTATCTGGGAGCCTATGCAAAGACAGTGATTGTGTGAATGATAGTGAGTTTCTTTCTTTTTTGGGTCACCCTGCCTTGGTGGGAGATGAATATATATATAATGTGGATATACCATACAGTATACAGTATATACACCATATCTTCAGGCTTGTGTGCTCGAATATAATAACAGAGGAAGTTAACCCTTTCAGGGTCGGAAGGGCCTCTCCTAAACTTGTTCTCAGGGTTGGAAATTTTTCAAAAAAAAAATTATTTTTTCTTATGAAATGATAGAGAATCTTTTCCCAATCACAATGACACCAAAAGTATGAAATTTGATGGAAAACTTACGGAGTTATGCTCTCATGAAGTTAGCAGTCTCGACGATGTTTATACATCGGCGACTTCGCCCACTTTGAGCCCTATTTTTGGCCAATTCCAATGTACCAGTCAACAAAAATCATACCTATTTTGCTAGAACTCCATATTTTCTATCGAATGAGTACAAGAAACCACCCATTTACCGATTTCCACTATCCAATAATGTGGTCAGAATTTGGCAATTTTGCCAGTTTCACACAAATTTCAAAAGATGCCAATTTCCAAATAGGGCCCAGAATAAACAAGACAGACATTTCTGGCACTAAAATAACATTTCCTCTGTTCATTACTCATATCCCCAGGCCTCTGTTACATTTCTTTTGCTTTCCACTTTGAATTTTTATTCTCACAAAAAATAGAAGATTTATGTTATGCAGACTACTGCATTCGTGTAGAAATGGCACAGAAATGGTATAAATAATATCAGAATATTACAGTCACCAGTTGACGTGTATTGGACGTGTGGCATGATTTGTTTACCTTTGAACTTTGGCAAAAATCGAACACTTCTGCTACTTTGAGCTCAATTTCAAGGCACTTTTCATTGTGAAACCAATCAAATTCATCTCAATTTCCATAGTATGTCTTCCATTCTATAAAATGAGGCCAGAAAAACTAGAATACAACCATAAAAAGCATGCGAAAATACACTGCAAAGTCACTGTTTGGAACCAAAAACACAGTCGGAGTTTTTTTTTTCTCGTTATGCACTGTGTGCTGCAGGATTTTTTTTATACTGCGCACACTGACCACATAGACCCATTATTTCATATGTAGGCCTACCAGCTTTCTCTCACTAGATTTGAAGGTGCTAGAATTTATGCGTACTAGTACAGCACCAACCCTGGTGTGCAAGCCGTACTAGTACGGCACCAACCCTGAAAGGGTTAATATCAATTATATAGGATAACTGTAGTTTAAACATAGTCAAAATAATCTCCGAGTATGTTTTACCAAACATTTATCATCAAAGATTGAGGAATAGCTAGAGGTTCAAGCTTATTTACAGTTAAAACATTAGACAAGTGATGTTCCTGTAACATGAAACATTCCTGATATGTTGAAGTGTTAGGAAGTGTTGAAATGTGAGGAAAATCACATCTATGATGGAAGTCAGGAAAATCATTTAACTGGATTTGAATTAAGGAGGGGGAAGGTACAGTACCTACACCCTGAAAGATGGCTTTGAGTGCTGCAGTTTGGTGGCTCATTTGAGTTGACATGTCCATGCACTTCTAACAAGACAGCTGTTGAATGAGTGATGGTTGAAGAATGAGACACTTGTGCAACATTTGGGAGTCTTTTTTGAGGAAACATTTTGCCAGCCAGTGGCTTTGAAATGTTTCCTCAGTAAAGATTTCCAAATGTTGAACAAGTGTCTAATTGTAAAGTAAAAGGACACAAGTGCAACTAATGTGACATTTATTGTGGCAACGTTTCGCTCTCCAGGAGCTTTATCAAGCCATTACAAACAATACATGGACACAGAGGGTATATAAAGGCTCTGAGTGAGGTGCAATATTAGTGAGGTACCATTTCGATGTTCACTAGTGGTAGTAGTAGTAGTAGTAGTAGTAACAAAAATAATACAATATGGAAGAGCAAATAATTCGTACATGAGTAAAAGGATATAAAAGCTATTATTTGGGTAACATAAAAATAGGTTGGACAAATATAGACTGGAAAGAGGCAGGTTTTTTTTTCAGTGTTCACTCTCTGTAATGTGCTTGTGTAGTATAACAGGAGAGACTATGTGATGGCAGGGTTTACTGTTTTCAGGAGGATTCTTGCTAAGACTTCGGAGATGGTGAAGCTGCCGTTGTTTTGTTTAATTGTATTCGAAACAGCGATCAGTGCTGATTCAAGGCACTTGCGTGTGCGGAAATTAGTTTCTTTGATCACTAATTGGGCGTCTCTGAATTTCATGAGATGATTGGTGGAATTTCGGTGTTGTACACAGGCGTTGTTTAAGTTGTCGTTCCTACATGCGTAAATGTGTTCATTGAGGCCTCAATGAACACATTTACGCATGTAGGAACGACAACTTAAACAACGCCTGTGTACAACACCAAAATTCCACCAATCATCTCATGAAATTCAGAGACGCCCAATTAGTGATCAAAGAAACTAATTTCCGCACACGCAAGTGCCTTGAATCAGCACTGATCGCTGTTTCGAATACAATTAAACAAAACAACGGCAGCTTCACCATCTCCGAAGTCTTAGCAAGAATCCTCCTGAAAACAGTAAACCCTGCCATCACATAGTCTCTCCTGTTATACTACACAAGCACATTACAGAGAGTGAACACCGAGAAAAAAAAAAAAAATACCTGCCTCTTTCCAGTCTATATTTGTCCAACCTATTTTTATGTTACCCAAATAATAGCTTTTATATCCTTTTACTCATGTACGAATTATTTACTCTTCCATATTGTATTATTTTTGTTACTACTACTACTACTACTACTACTACCACTAGTGAACATCGAAATGGTACCTCACTAATATTGCACCTCACTCAGAGCCTTTATATACCCTCTGTGTCCATGTATTGTTTGTAATGGCTTGATAAAGCTCCTGGAGAGCGAAACGTTGCCACAATAAATGTCACATTAGTTGCACTTGTGTCCTTTTACTTTACATATTGTCGGTAATTCTACCAACTTTATTACAAGTGTCTAATTCTTTAGCTTATCTGTTTTCTTAACCATTTACATCACAGTGGGTAATAGAAATGTATTTATTACATCAGACATGTCTCACTCTTCCTTGGCAGGAAATAGCTGATGTAGTAAAAAGAAAGGTACTTGAATTGAATATAGAGTATTGATTTCCTTTTGCAGCATTAACAGACAAAGGTGAGAAGATGATCTTAACATTTGGACTGAGGAGTGCTGACCAAGTGGTGCTGCCATATGCCAACCTGTCTTTATGGGGTGCAGTCAGCGACAACATGGATGCTGAGACACATTACTTTATAACCAACATTGAACCTCTCCTGCCATCCCAAAGAGCTTTTGATGAGTACATGGCCAGGTAGCCAGAGTAGATATTTTTCTCTTGTCTTGTTAATTATTATTTGTGTATTTGGTCCATTATTTTTTGTTCTTCACTGTAATGATACTGTAAAATAGTGAAGGTTGCACTGTTTCTTCCCATTTATATTCATTTATGGTTTTTACACTATAGAGGTATTAAATTTCTTTTCCTTATTTGTTATTTTTTGGCTTAATTTTCATCCTCAATCTTATACAGCATATTGAATAAAATGAATAACTTAGTACATATGTGGTGAAAGTAACATTTATGAAGGGGTTCAGGGAAACCGGCAGGCCGGACTTGAGTCCTGGAGATGGGAAGTACAGTGCCTGCACTCTGAAGGAGGGGTGTTAATGTTGCAGTTTAAAAACTGTAGTGTAAAGCACCCTTCTGGCAAGACAGTGATGGAGTGAATGATGGTGAAAGTTTTTCTTTTTCGGGCCACCCTGCCTTGGTGGGAATCAGTCAGTGTGTTAATAAAAAAAAAATATGTGGTGAAATATACTGCCAGGAAAATGATTGTGGATATTGAGTTATTTAAATATTTTGTGGGAATGGATATAATGATAAATAGAAGTGAAGTCATGAAGTAATAATAGGGAAGCTGTTTACTCCTTCTCACTGCATTATGTATAACTTAATATTACTCATGAATGATAAGAAGCTATGGGAAGTGATATATAGAAAGTAACTGATAGACTGAGATAATGATGTACATAGATTTTTTTTTCTTTCTGGCTATAGTACTGTGCTTTGTATTTTTCTTTTGCTGACCCGCAGCTAGTAACATTTGACTTAATGGTAATTTAAGATATACTAATGTAAATTTATGGTACATACAAGTGTTTCCTGACGCTGGTCTTAGTCATATAAGCAGACATGGGTTTGTGTAAGAATTGTTCCATGTGTGTTTAGTAAACCCAGATAGTGGTAGAATTTTAACCAGTTATTTTTATAACTGGTTATTTTTATAACTGGTTATTTTTATAACCAGTTATTTTATAAACTGGTTATTTTTATAACCGGTTATTTTTATAAACTGGTTATTTTTATAACTGGTTATTTTTATAACCAGTTATTTTATAAACTGGTTATTTTTATAACTGGTTATTTTTATAAACCGGTTATTTTTATAAACTGGTTATTTTTATAAACTGGTTATTTTTATAAACTGGTTATTTTTATAACCGGTTATTTTTATAAACCGGTTATTTTTATAAACTGGTTATTTTTATAAACTGGTTATTTTTATAACCGGTTATTTTTATAAACCGGTTATTTTTATAAACCGGTTATTTTTATAACCGGTTATTTTTATAAATCGGTTATTTTTATATAGCCGGACTTGAGTCCTGGAAATGGGAAGTACAATGCCTGCACTCTAAAGGAGGGGTTCGGGATATTGGCAGTTTGGAGGGATATGTTGTGTATCTTTATACGTATATGCTTCTAAGCTGTTGTGTTCTGAGCACCTCTGCAAAAATAGTGATTATGTGTGAGTGAGGTGAAAGTGTTGAATGATGATGAAAGTATTTTCTTTTTGGGGATTTTCTTTCTTTTTGGGTCACCCTGCCTCAGTGGGAGATGGCTGACTTGTTAAAAAAAAAAAAAAATATTCTAACATATACAGTGGTTTCTCGCTTTTCTTAGTTCCCGGCAATCGTAAATTTCGCCAATCATAGGGTTATTTTCATATAAACATGGACTCGCTTTTCATAAGTTGACTCGCGAGTCGTAATTTGTCCCGGGCACGTACCCAAGGCGTGAGCCGTGGCGGCAGCCAGTCTGGCATTGTTTACCAGGGAGCGAAGGTCCCCCTCACGTGCTCCAGTGAAATATTTCATAATATTCCATTTATTTTAGTGCTTGCAGGTACTAAATAAGCTACCATGGCTCCAAAGAAAGCTCCTAGTGCCAAGCCTGTGGTAACGAAGGTGAGAAATATGATTGAATTTAAGAAAACCATCATTGAACAATATGAAAGTGGTACAAGTGTGGCCGAACTGTCCAGGATGTATAAGAAACCCTACACAACCTTATGTTCCATAGTGGCCAAGAAAAAGGAAATCAAGGATGCTGTTGTTGCAAAGGGGGTAATTATGCTGACAAAAATGAGATCACCAGTACTCGAAGAGGTTGAGAAGTTATTATTGGTGTGGATAAATGAAAAACAATTAGCAGGAGATACTCTTATGACTTCGATTATTTGTGAAAAGGCTAGGCAGTTGCATGAAGATTTGGTAAAGAAATTGCCTGCAAATAGTGGTGATGTGAGTGAATTTAAGGCCAGCAAAGGCTGGTTTGAGAGATTTAAGAACCGTACTGGCATACACAGTGTGGTAAAGCATGGTGAGGCTGCCAGTTCGGACCACAAGGCGGCTGAATTTTTTTTTTTTTTTTTTCAACAAGTTGGTCGTCTCCCACCGAGGCAGGGTGACCCAAAAAAGAAAGAAAATCCCCAAAAAGAAAATACTTTCATCATCATTCAACACTTTCACCACACTCACACATTATCACTGTTTTTGCAGAGGTGCTCAGAATACTACAGTTTAGAGGCATATACGTATAAAGATACACAACATATCCCTCCAAACTGCCAATATCCCAAACCCCTCCTTTAAAGTGCAGGCATTGTACTTCCCATTTCCAGGGCTCAAGTCCGACTATATGAAAATAACTGGTTTCCCTGAATCCCTTCACTAAATATTACCCTGCTCACACTCCAACAGATCGTCAGGTCCCAAGTATCATTCGTCTCCATTCACTCCTATCTAACACACTCATGCACGCTTGCTGGAAGTCCAAGCCCCTCGCCCACAAAACCTCCTTTACCCCCTCTTTCCAACCCTTTCGAGGACGACCCCTACCCCTCCTTCCTTCCCCTATAGATTTATATGCTTTCCATGTCATTCTACTTTGATCCATTCTCTCTAAATGATCAAACCACCTCAACATGAATTCCAGGAGTACATGGAGGCTGAAGGACTGAAACCTGAACAAGTGTTCAATTGTGACGAAACAGGCCTCTTTTGGAAGAAAATGCCAAAGAGGACCTTCGTTACACAAGAGGAAAAGACAATGCCAGGACACAAGCCTATGAAAGACAGGCTGATGCTAATGTTCTGTGCTAATGCCTGTGGGGATTTCAAAGTGAAGCCATTACTAGTGTACCATTCAGAAAATCCCAGAGTGTTCAGGAAAAACAATGTTATGAAGAGTAAATTGTGTGTGTTTTGGAAATCTAATAGTAAGGCATGAGTCACGAGGGAAATTTTCGTCGAGTGGTTCAATGAAGTGTTTGGCCCTAGTGTGAAGGAGTGTCTCCTGGAAAAGAAATTGGATCTCAAGTGCCTGCTAGTAATGGACAATGCACCTGCTCATCCTCCAAACTTGGATGACCTAATTTTCGAGGAGTTTGGGTTCATCACAGTAAAGCTCTTGCCCCCGAATACCACTCCTCTCCTCCAGCCCATGGACCAGCAGGTCATTGCAAACTTTAAAAAATTCTACACAAAAGCAATGTTTCACAGGTGCTTGACTGTGACCACAGACACTCACTTGACCCTAAAGGAATTTTGGAGAGAACACTTCAGCATCCTCCATTGCATAAGCCTTATAGGTATGGCTTGGGAGGGAGTGACTACCAGGACTTTGAACTCTGCCTGGAGAAAATTGTGGCCAGATTGTGTCGACAAGAGGGATTTTGAAGGGTTTGGGACTGACCCTGATGAGCCTATGTCTGTTGTAAAATCAGTTGTGGCACTGGGGAGTTCCATGGGGTTGGATGTGAGTTTGGAGGATGTGGAAGAATTGGTGGAAGACCACAATGAAGAGCTCACCACTGAGGAGCTGCAAGAGTTTCAGCAGGAAGAGCAACAGATCACAGCTCAGAATCTTGCTGCAGAGGAGGAGGAAGAGAGATGGAAGAAGGTGCCTTCTTCAGAAATTAAAGAGATTTTTACTATGTGGGGTAAGATGGAAAGCTTTATGGAGAAACATCACCCTAACAAGGTTGTTGCAAGCCATATTGGCAACATGTACAGTGACAAAGTCTTGGGCCATTTTAGGGAAGTGTTAAAGAGTGGCCAGAAACAGAGCTCTCTCCACAGTTATTTTGCGAGACAGGACTCCATTGACTCTCAAGGTGGTCCTAGTGGCATTAAGAAACAGAAAAGACAAGCAACCCCAGAAAAGCAATTGGAACCTGAGGTGTTGCTGGAAGGGGATTCCCCTTCCAAACTATAAACAATCCACTCTCTCTCCTCTGCCAGTCTCCCATACACTAAGAAGAATCTCCAATAAAGGTAAGTGTTATGCTGTTAATGTTTCATTCATCATTTCCCATTGTATTGTTTATGTACTACATGTACATTTCATGTAAAAAATTTTTTTGTTTTAATACTTCTGGGTGTCAGGAACGGATTAATTGTATTTACATTATTTCTTATGGGCAAAATTGATTCGTAAATCGTAAATTTCATTTATAGTAATGGCTCCAGGAACGGATTAATTACGAAAAACGAGGGACCACTGTATTCTAACATTAATTTATGGTATATCCTAACATTAATTACAATATATCCTAACTTTAATTCATGGTGTACCCTCATGTTAACACCAGGATATACCATAAGCTAATATTAGGATATACCATAAATTAATGTTAGGAGATACTGAATGTACTTCTTCATTATTATCCATTTACAATGAAATCCTCTAACTGATGTATGCATTTAATTTTTGGTACTGCTAGAAATGAACTGACAAAAGCCACAGGTGCACGTGACCAGACTAAAGTGGATATGTTGCTACGTGCTGAGAAATCCTTAGCAGGCATCACTCTTCCAATTGAAATGGATTATATTGGTAAGAAAAAATTGCTCTTCACGAGTGCTCTAAAATTAAAATTATGCATCTTTTTTATATTTTTTCTTATGGTCTAAAGTTAAGGCATACTTAAATACTACTGGTAACATTAGTTGCCCCAAAATACTTAAAAAACTTTGGCCTCTTCACTAAGAAATAGGTCAGTTAATGCAGGTTTAAAGCCTATGGACTACAAGAGGGTCATTATTATCTTCATGTTTGGGTTATAAATGCATCAGTGGCAGCTCGCATAGTTTTCGTTAAAATATCATTCAGAATAGCAGTTGTTTTCAGAGGACTCTGAGGGCTCAAGAAATGATGGAAGCATGGATCTTGAAAAGAACCTTAACATGCTAGGAGCTGCCAGTAAGTTCTCAGCTACTTCCATGGATGAAGTTATCCAGGTACTGTATGTGTCACGTCATTATAGTATATAAATTCATTGCAGTTTATTAACAGTATTTACATTTCAGTAAAAGCAATAATAAGCATGTACTGTATATACTGTACACTAGAGGATTTCTGATGAAGCAGTGATTCACGTTATCTTTTGAGAGAAAGTTATGTTATGATGTCAGATCATCCTAAACACAGTACCCTTCAAGGGTCTGCTCTTGTACTGGTAATGAGTCTTGATCCAACGGGTTGGAGCTATCCTTCCCTCATTTGAATCAAATCTGATTTCTTATCATTCCCTAGGAGGCACTGTAGAATCCAAATATAGTGGACCCTCGGGTAACGGCGGCATCGGCTAATGCCAAAATCGGATAGCATCCCATTTTGGCTGCAAAATACTGGCTCGGCTAACACCCGAATGCTCGGTTAAGGGCGTTTGTCCCGAACGTGTCTGTGAGGCCTGGGCCGCCCAGCCTTTCCAGTACAGCTTAGTGTGCCATTGTTTACAAGCCAGGGAGGACGATTCCATGGGTACATGCGATATATTTTGTATTATTCCATTTTTTAGTGCTTGTAACTGCTAAATAAGTCACCATGGGCCCAAAGAAACCTTCTAGTGTCAGCCCTGTGGCAAAAAGGGTGAGAAATACTATCGAATTGAAGAAAGAGATCATCGCAAAATACGAAAGTGGAGTGCGTGTCTCTGAGTTGGCCAGGTTATATAACAAACCCTATTCAACCATCACTACTATCTTGACCAAGGAAAATGCAATCAAGGGAGCTATTGTTGCAAAAGATGCAGGTATGCTTACAAAACACGGATCGCAAATACTCGAAGATGTGGAGAGACTTTTGTTGGTTTGGATCAACGACAAACAATTATCAGGAGATAGTGTTTCTCAGTCAATAATATGTGAAAAGGCAAGGCAGTTGCATGATGATCTCATTAGGAAAATGCCTCCAAATAGTGCTGATGTTAGTGACTTTAAGGCCAGCAAAGGTTGGTTTTGAGATATTTAAGAATTGCAGTGGCATACACAATGTGATAAGGCATGGTGAGGCTGCCAGTTGTGACAAAAAAGTGGCTGAAAAATATGTGCAGGACTTTAAGGGGTACATAGAGGCTGAAAAATTAAAACCCCAACAAGTGTTCAGTTGTGACAAGACAGGCCTGTTTTGGAAGAAAATGCCAAACAGGACCTACATTACTCAGGAGGAAAAGGCACTCCCAGGACACAAGCCTATGAAAGACAGCCTAATTTGTGTGTGATGTGGACGGCAGACAGTAAGGCATGGGTCACTAGGGACATTTTCCAAGATTGGTTCTATCAAGTGTTTTGCCCCAATGTGAAAAAATACCTCCTAGAAAATAAATTGGAACTCATTTTCTTGGTCTCATTTGATAGAATGGAAAACATGTTATAGAAATAGAGGTGATTTTGGTTGGTTCTACTATAAAAAGAACCTGGAAATGGAGCTCAAATTAGGGGAAATGTTTGATTTTTGCCGATATTCAAAAGTAAACAAATGATATCATTGTCCAATAAATGTCCAACTAGCCATTTTAATATGCAGTCATGAATGGGTTGACATTATATGTACAACTATTACAATATTGCAGTAGTCTGCATAACAGTAAATCTTCTATTTTTTGTTTGAATAAAAATTCAAAATAGAAAGCAAGAGTATTATCAGAGGGGCCTGGAGACATGACTGATGAACAAAGAAAATGTTATTTTAGAGCCAGGAATGTCTGCATTGTTCATTCTGGACCTTATTTTGAAATTGTCATATTTTTTAATTTTCATGAAATTGGCCAAATTGCAAATTTCTGACCACATTATTGGGTAATTGAAATCGGTAAATGGGCAGTTTCTTGTACTCAATTGATAGAAAAAACGGAGTTCTAAAGAAATAGCTATGAGTTTGGTTGACTGGAACAATGGAATTAGCCGAAAATAGAGCTCAAAGTGGGCGAAATCACCGATTTGTAAATATCACCGAGGTCGCTAACTTTGCAAGAGTATAATTCAGTCAGTTTTCCATCAAATTTCATTTTTTTCATGTCATTACAATCAGGAAAAGATTATCATTTCATAAGAAAAAATAATTTTTTTTTTTTTTTAATCTTGCGACACCAGATGCCTCAGGATTGGGGGGTTGCAACAGTCAAGGGGTTAAAGACACACCAGAAACAGAGCTCTCCGGACAGATTTTTGGTGCGACAGGGGTCCAGTGACTCTCAAGCTGGTCCCAGTGGCAATAAAAAACAAAGAAGGGAGGTAACCCTGGAGAAGGACTTGCTACCTAAAGTCCTTATGGAAGGGGATTCCCCTTCCAAACAATAATACACCTCCCTCCTCTCCCCCTCCTCCCATCTCATCACTCATCAATAAGTCCTCAGTAAAGGTAAGTGTCATTTCAGTATTGTTTATTGTGCATGTCTCATTGTTTTCTGTGTAGGGAAATGTATATTTCATGTGAAAAAAATTATTTTGTTTAATATTTTTCGGTGTATGGAACGGATTAATTGGATTTCCATTATTTCTTATGGGGAAAATTAATTTGGATAACGGCAAAATCGGTTAAAGACAAGCTCTCTGGAACGGATTAATGCCGTTACCCGAGGGTCCACTGTAGATTTATTTCTTCCCCGTTAATATACTAATAATAATAATAATAATAATAATAATAATAATTTGTGAAGGGATTCATGGAAACTGGTTAGCCAGACTTGAGTCCTGGAGGTGGGAAGTACAATGCCTGCACTCTAAAAGAGGATTTTGGGATATTTGCTGTTGAGAGTGACATCTAAACTGCCATATCTGCATGCCTCTGGAAAGACGGTGATAGGGTGAATAATGGTAAAAGTATTTCTTTTTGGGGGATCACCCTACCTCAGTGGGAGATGGCCAGCATGTTAAAAAAGAAAAATAATAATAATAATAATAATAATAATAATAATAATAATAATAATAATAATAATAGCATTCCATAGGTATTAGTTTTTGGTTGTCATTCCTGTAGGTGAAAAATATACTAGCACCATGCAAGGTTTATTGAAATATTCCTTATTTTAAATTTAGGTAAATAACATACTTGGAGCTGTAGCTGATCCACTACCGAAAGAGAGCCAGGCCTCAGCAGTGGAGATGCTGGTAGCACTGTCAGCATCAGCAGACAAGGAAGCACCTCTCTCTCAACAGAAGGACTTTGTTGCTGGAGCTCTGACTACAGCAGCCAACCTCATGAGGGTTAGGACTGACTAATATATATATAGTACTCTTACCAGAGGTTTTAAAGAGAATGTTTTATTAAACTTGTTATCATACTTATATTTTATTGTAAAAAGAGAAAATGTAATCACCAGGGCATTTTATTGGAAAAATTTTTGTCTTGACATCTTGGTCACTCCAGGATTGACACATTTCCATTTTCTGTCTGTTTTATCAACTACCATTCCCTAGGTACCTTCTTCTCTTTCATGGTTTTATTAAACAAAAGTACCAACCACTCCAAAACTATATACCTGTCTGCTTTTAACATTTCTGTCATGGTCCTATCAGTTCCAGCTGCTTTACCCCCTTTCATTCTACCCAGTGCCTTATGCACCTCCCTCACATTCACATCCAGAGCTTCTTCACTCCTAAAAGATATTATACCTCTCTGGCCACTGCATGATATTACTGCCTCTCTCTCTTCATTAACATTTAACAGTTCCTCAGAATATTCCTGCCATCTTCCCAATACCTCCAACTCCCCATCTACTAACTCCCCTATTCTTTTTTTAACTGTCAAATCCATTTGTTCCCTAGACTTTCTTAACCTATTTATCTCCAAATTTTTTTCTTATTCTCAACAAAATTTGTTGACAGTGCCTCACCCACTCTATCATTTGCTTTCCTTTTGCACTCCCTCACCACTCTCTTCACCTCTTTTACTCTCCATATACTCCACCTTCTTATATCACTGCTTTGTAAAAACCTCTCATAAGCAACTACAGTCAAATCTCAGTTTTCATATGCCGTAGTCTGTATGTAAAACTATAGTTATTCTCTATAAAATGTATTTTTGTTAATATTTTTGGGTGTCTGGAATGGATTAATTGCATTTACATTATTTCTTATGGGAAATATTAGCAAAAAATACATTTTATAGAGAATAATTATAGTTTTATATACAGACTAGGGCATACGAAAACCAAGGTTTGACCATGTATAACTATATGCTGTAACTGCAATTACATAACAAAAAATGTATAAGGAGCATACTGTAATTGATTAGGATGAAAAGGCTTGCTACATACCATACACACTATGCCAAACAACCCTCCGTTTCTCATACCATATTTAAAAATTTTCTCCTGTACTTAAAGTGTATTTTTCGATAAATTCTCTAACCTCTCCCTTGCCATGCAGTGGTTAATGTCCTAAACTGTTTTTATAACTATTTGTTGCATAACTATAATACATTATAATTAGACTTCATATATTTTTAGGGTGTTAATAAGAGCACAAAATTGTCAAATAATACAATGTCAACCAACGATGATGGTTCAGAAATATCAATCATGTCTAGAAGAAGAAGAAAAAGAATGGCTGCCAATGAGTCTTTCTTCGTAGAAGAAGAAGACACATCATATGAACCTTCTGCAGATGACCAGGATGCCAATGAGAAGGTTGGATTTTTTTTATTGCATTAAGATAAGATTTGTTCAGATTTTAAAGTCACTAATTGGTTTACATTTATGTAACTACTCAAACTCACTCTTAGTCACTCTTTGAAAATAATGCATAAGATAATGAATTCACTTAATTAAGATTCATATATGTATTAGGTGGAAAAGATGCTGGGGGTTGTAGGGTCATCGCAAGGAGCACTGCTGGAGTCAGCTGTTGTAGGGGAGGAGCCAGCCAAAATTGACGCAGGAGACCAGGTCAATATGGCCGTCGGTAAGTGCACTTTCATCTAATACTTCCAGATTTTCAATAATAATCTATAATGCACTATAACCCAAGTGAAAAATAATAATACTCCTTGATAATGTGAGAAATTTTCAGAGCACTTACAATGTTACTATCAAGATATTACCTGTTTCCTATGATCTTATTGCAGCAATCTGTAATATCAGTTGTGTGTATATACTTGCTTTTTGGTTTTTGAAAAATATATATTGCTTCCATTCAAGGTTCTCTGCAAGCCCACTGGAAGAGTATTGGTATGTAATAATTAATATGATCTTTAATTCTTAGGATTCTTCGATGCTGCAGAACTAGAGGGAAAGGTTGTAGAGGTTGGTGGTGCTGTCTATGTGTTCCCTAGCTACTGTGCCATCATCAGGCAAGAGCCCACATGTCTCGCAAATAAATCTATTACTATAGGTGTTCAAGTAAGTGTATACTTTTTATCAAATACAAAGCTAAGTTAGATAATGTGTGATTGATAACCTGCTGGCTGCTGTACTAATGAAATTCATTTAATAATTTTACTCTAGTTTTTCTTTATTTTCTTCTTTTTTTTGCTACATACTGATACAGCAGTGGATACTACTCAGGAAAACCATGGTTACATTGTTCTTGTCCTCATGTAAATGAACAGTGACCATGTTTTTTTTTTCATACTTCTGCACATCTGTTACATATAATTAAGAAATCTCCACTGCTTCCTTGCTGACTGAGTTTATGGCAATATCTCTTCTAAAGGTCATTTTGTTTATAATGCTATGCATGTAGCAGCATGAAAGGTAGCCAGTATACCTGCTCTTCTATTCTGGTCTTATACATGTTAACTCTTAAACTGTCCAAACGTATATGTACGTTTTTTCAACATTTGAAAGTATGTAAAAAAATGTACATCATCTTTTTTTTCTTACATTTGAAAATATGTAAAAAATGCATAGATCTACTTTTGGAGCACTATGGATTTGAACGTCAATCTATTTGGACCGTTTAAGGGTTAATAATATGCAATTGTCCCTGGTAGTCATTAGTCTAAATATTAGTAGATAGTTCTGAGCAGATAGCCTTGGTGTGGACTTGCATAGTAAATTTAATATACAGAACCAAAACAAGACTTCGTTAATATGAATGTTTCACCCAGTATGGTTTTCCACACTCAGTGAAATGTTGTTTAAATAAATGCTTGTTGTATTGTATCTCTGAGTTACTGTGTGACATTAATCCACTGTATTGTAAGGTTAAGTGATTCTCTTCTTTCTTTTATTACCAGCTAACTCATTTACTAATTAACTAGTTTTACAGACTAATTAAATACAGTGGAACCTTGTTTTTCAGCTGTAATCCATTCCAGAAAGCCAGCCTAAATTCGAAATGGCCTAAATTCAAAGCAATATTTCCCATAAGAATTAATGTAAATACAATTAATTCATTCTAGGAAGAGGAGAGTTTGTTTGGAGGCAGGACAAGATAGTCCTTCAATATGACACTAGTATCAACTCTATGGCTTATTTATCTATCACAATTGATCTAATATGACATAATAAACAATATAAATAACATAGAAACCTGATATACACACTAGAATGAATAAAATATTTCATTACGTATGTGAAGGATGGTGGTAGTGTTGTTGTTGTTGTTGGGTTATCAGGGCCACTGGCAGCATAAGCTGTACATACTGTATACTGTAGTGGTGGTGGTGGCGATAGCGGTGTTGTCAGTGGCCCTACATACCTCCAGTAACATTGGAGGAGTTAGTTTCGTGTCCTTTTTCTATTGCTTAATCACTTAACTTACTTGCTACACTATTAATACTACACTTTATCACTGGCTGGTCCTATATCCTTTATCAACTCCTGCTGCTTTAGTATCATACATATCGTAGAATCACTGAAGAAGGCACATTCGCCCCCCTCTCTTCCTCCTCCACTTTCGTACTTTGCTACAATTTCTTTCTTCAATTCTATCATGTTTCTCACTTTCTTTACCAAAGGTCTGGCACTAGGAAGTTTCTTTGTGCCCATGGTGGCTTATTTCATAGTCGCACTTAATAAACAAGCACAAAAACCAATGGATTTTAAGGAAATTTTTGGATGAATGTGCGGAGTATATGCTCATTCACCGAAAGACACAGGGAAACTGACTTACTAAAGCGCAGTGTCCCCGCGGAAGAGGCGGGCTGATGCATCTAATACGGCTGACTTACAAGGCACCGGCCGAAATACAGAGCAAAATTTCTGCCCAAAATCCAGCCTAAATACAAATCGGCTGATAAACAAAATGGCTGAAAAACGAGGTTCCACTGTTAACCATTCATTCATCTACCTATAGTATTTTTTTTTATAAGCAAAGAGGTTTGAATCAGAATGATTCCCCCCTCCAGGCAAACTGCTTTCAGCAGTCATTCCACAAGCACCACTAAGACAAAAAAAAGCTAGCTCCTTTGCACATGCCATTAAAAAGCACATTATCTCCCTAACTTATCCCAGCCCATCATAAATATGTAAAAACTATACACTCATTTGCTCAGTATCACTAACTTAAGTAAAACATTATAATCATTGTATACGTTTTCTCAATATCTGTTATCCTCTCAAATGTTAATCAATCCATTGTGTCCACTCTAGGAAAATAATCAAAACTGTAATTACTCTCTATCAAACTTATTAAAAACATATAGCATGGACTAGAATATTCAGTTCTCTTGAATTCGTTGTAAACTTCTAAATTTAAATTACACCCACCTAGTTAACTATATATACAAAATTGCACAAAGAGTTATTGCCCTTTTAATCTTAAATTAGTCTTAAGTTTTCCTGAAATGCTGTGCATATAAGGGGCTTTCAGCATGTACACCCAAATGTCATACTCCTTTGTACAAACATTGTATCATGTTGAAATAAACTTCTTATTCTTATGCCAAACACAGAGATTTAATTATTGGCATCATAAGAATTTAAGTGATAGGTTTAACTACATTATCTCAGAAGATCATTTGTAGTCTGACTGGTTAATAACTTGGTTGTTAATTTATGACTCATGGTGCAAGAGTTTAGCTAGCATCATCATCATCAGAAGTGGTCTGTCCTTAAGATTTTTTTTTTTTTTTAACAAGTTGGCCGTCTCCCACCGAGGCAGGGTGACCCAAAAAGAAAGAAAATCCCCAAAAAGAAAATACAGTGGAGCCTCAAAAATTGAACTGCTCCCAACACAACCAATTATGTAAGTGTATTTTTGTAAGTGCTTTTATAAGTGTATTTTTGAGGGTCTGAAATGGACTAATCTAATTTACATTATTCCTGATGGGAATAAATTCATTCGGTAAAGGCACTTGAACAGCCTTCTGGACCGAAGAAAGTTTGATATCTGAGGTTCCACTGTACGTACTTTCATTATCATTCAACACTTTCACCTCTCTCACACATAATCACTGTTTTTGCAGAGGTGCTCAGAATACAACAGTTTAGAAGCATATACGTATAAAGATATACAACATATCCCTCCAAACTGCCAATATCCATTTCAGTATTACTGCATGCAGTATGGCTTCAGTATTACTACATGCAGCATGACTTAAGTTGCACTGATCATCTCGGTATGGCTTTCCTGTAAGGGCTGACTCAAGAAATCGTAATGTCATGATATGGTTTGTACCCCGTGGCCTGGTGGCAAAAGCTCTCGCTTCACACAGTGAGGGTCTGGGTTCAATTCCTGGTGAGGAGTGGAAGCATTGGGTGTGTTTCCTTACACCGGTTGTCTATGCTCGTCCATCAGTAAAATGGGTACCTGGATGTTAGTCGACTGGTGTGGGTAGCATCCTGGAACAAAACTGACCTAATTTGCCCGAAATGCTCTGCATAACAATCGGCTTTCTATGTAGTAGTATGTCACTGATGTCAGCTAGGCCTGTATACCTTGTACATGTTTTTTTTTTTTTTTTTTCAACAAGTCGGCCGTCTCCCACCGAGGCAGGGTGACCCAAAAAAGAAAGAAAATCCCCAAAAAGAAAATACTTTCATCATCATTCAACACTTTCACCACACTCGCACATTATCACTGTTTTTGCAGAGGTGCTCAGAATACAACAGTCTAGAAGCATACACATATAAAGATACACAACATATCCCTCCAAACTGCCAATATCCCAAACCCCTCCTTTAAAGTGCAGGCATTGTACTTCCCATTTCCAGGACTCAAGTCCTTGTAGTAAATAAAGATATTATATTATGGTATATTTTGTAAGGGCTGTGTGTATCTTGTGAGTAAATTTGCTTAATTAGAACACCTGCCCTCCACCACTTGCTATATGCCACATTAAGCTTTTTCCTATTTAGTTATGAAATGCATCATTCTGACTTGTATTTGGTGAGTATTACAAATGTCAGTGAATATTACGTGTAGCATTATTATTGTTTTTGTAAAATATAATGTTTAACATATGCTTTCAGGCTTAATGATCCTTCTTTAAAATGGGTCTTTTCCCAAAGCTACATATAATGTTCAACAAGGCATGTCTGGTTACTGAGGGTAAATTTCTAGGTCTTCTCCTTGACTGTACTCTTAAATTTCATTCCTACATTCAGCATATATCCAAGAAAATTTCCAAATCAGTAGGCATATTTTCCAAGATACGATACTGTGTACTCCAAATGACACTCCTTACCCTGTACCACTCTTTAATATATCCCTACCTCACCTATGGCATTTGTGCCTGGGGATCAACCACAGCTAACCATCTTAAACCTTTAACAACCCAACAAAAAGCTGCTGTGTGGATGATTACCAGCTCCTGTGCTAGACAGCACACCCCACTACTTTTCAAAAGCCTAAACCTGCTAAATATATGAGACATACACTCATATTATTGTGCTTACTACATATACAGAACATTAAACTCCAATGTAAACTCTCCACTTAAACTTCTCCATGATAGCTGCAACAGCAAAAGGCACTCTTTGACATCCCTTGTGTCAGTCTCACACTATGCAATAATGCAATGCACATGGAGGGCCCGAAGATATGGAATTCACTACCTGAACTGGTAAAGGATCCCCTGACTGCTTATAAATTTAGGACTTTGCTTAAAAATCGTCTCGTCTCTCAATGCTAACCAAACCAACCACAACAACTTCTAATGTGGTTTAGTAGAATTTACTCTTATTCTAATCCATATTTTCATGACTGTTAGTGAATAACAGTACTGTAATTATTTCCCAGCTACTTTAGACACCTAAGGCACTATTCAAGGTGCTAATCCAGGTACTTAAGTGTTTTATTCTCTGTCTTATTTTATACTTGAAACCATTACTTTTAACTTCGAAATAATGAAGGTGCTAAAGTGTTTTATTTTAATTTTCAGTAGCTCCATTATTTTTTTTATTTGAATTAACTATCTTAGTTCATAAGTTCATAATTGGTAGTGGTTTAATTA